AAAAATACATTCGCATTATATCGAACGAGTTCAGAAGTTTCAACAAAAAATTCAATAGATGGCGCTGATGTACTCCATTCATCAGTACTTTACGATATACAGATTTTATCAATTTAAAACCTTTTATAATTTAATTGTTTTTAAAAATACAATAACTTGTTGCTGTTTTATTGTTTTAGAATTCTTAATAAAATACGATCGTTTTCCAAGTGATGAACGAACGGTCCTCTAATTTTTTAGTTGCAAACATTTTGTCAATCAACAGGAATCGTGTAATATAATTATGAATGGTTATTCTGTACCGTGACTATGGTCGTGAACTTCACGCATGCGCGGTGCATACTTTTGGTACATTTCTTTTGTGACGTCACTACTACCAACCAAGATTTAAGGAATAGTGGCGCATGCGTGGTGCGTGCGGGGCGCATTCATTACTTTACAAAGGCGCGTATTTATGTTAGCCGTTTTTTTACAAACTTTTATTATATTATTGAATTTTAATAAACGCGTTTGTACATTTTATGTATGTTATATATTCACGATATTTATAGGTAGGCAAAGCCTTTTCGCCTATATGGACTGCACGCCACTGCTACGTATGTAGTGTAAATCAATATTTAAATTATTTCTATGTCAGCTTCTACAATCGGTACTAGATTTTATGTGTCAAATTAACATCCGCCTTAAATAGGTTACCTTTTTCCATAGTAATATATCCTGTTTAATATTAGACTAATATTCATTTAAATACCCACACTAGTATAATATGGCTTCACCGTATTTACAGAATTCTTAGAATATAATAAAAAATTGGGTCAACGGCACGATATTACAAGTTTTTATTTTTGTTGTGCTACTTTATTAGTAACGGCCGTTGTTTGTCACGCCGGTATTTTATTAGTCTTAAATAACTTTGTTTTGCGGCGTGGCTCAAAATAATTGTTAGTACACCTCTGTCTATACCGTAATCCGGTCTTCGGCTGATAACACTATTTGGCTCTCCTTAATACTTGCTCTACTAAGATATTGAAAAAAACTGTATCTAGTGGTAATTTCTTCCATTACTTCTAACTTGTGATCAGTTTATGAAATTCTATCGTCTACTATTATTAATATTTAGAATTGTATTTCCGAGTGTTGGTCAGTGGGTCGTCTTAGGGGCAAGGAGTTTACGACTCAGAAAATTTTTCATCAAAAATGAGAATTCTTATAATCGGCTGGTTTTTCATTTCTATCTTTTAGTATATCTAAAGATAAGGTGAATATTATCTGGGCACTTTTTATCTAGGGCTACAGGTTCGCCTGAAAATGAGCCCTAAAGGTCAGTTGGGGGAGTGTGTAAAAACACTTTTTAGGCACCCCGACACATTTGGTTAGGTTAGGTTAGAACTGTGACCCTCTCAAGGCGCGAGGCGAGCGAGCGTAGCGAGCGGTGCCGCGGCAGCGGCCGCCTAAGTCCTCGCGCCATAGCGCCCCTAAGGCTATACTCTAACCCGAGTGTTAAATATCTTAGAATTAAAAAAAATAGCTAATGAGTTGTTAATAATTAACGGGTTGTTATATCATTATATGTTCCAAGGAAAAAAGCCGTTATTAAAATGAACATTTAACTGAATGACAGTTACTCACTCTTTCCGAGTAACTTAATTATTTCAGTTAATAAATATATACATGTTTTACAAAACCGTCATGTCATCATGTCACGTACATTGCAATTAAAGAGTAGTCATTTGGGTCCAAACGGTGCAGTATAAATATAATAGGTGGGTACAATGTAACTTGTAAGCAGATACTTATGCAATGAAATACATTACAAGAGTACCATTTACCAACCGCATCGGGTTTCCTACTGATTACAGTACCTTGGTTAAATCATGTTGTACCGTGTTAGAATATAACCAGTAGGGTAACCTTACATCTATTGAAGCCCATGACAAATTGCTATGCAGTAGTACCTAGAGCCTTTGATAATGAATTTAGAAGAGTTCCTCCTCCTCTTGATTTTGAGGCTCCTACCTACCAAAAAAGCGTTACTTAATATAACACGTGCTAAAAATGCAGAGCAAAATGCTTTTTAACTTAGACAATGAAGATTTTACTTAATTATATATTATCAGATTTTTTATTATTTCTAGTTAAGTACTAGATTCCTAAACTTGTAATATCTGTTGCCACAGAGACCGGTGCCCGCAACGAGCGGCGCCTGTGCGCGGTGCACTGCGGGCGCGCGGCCGGCTTCCAGCTCGTGCACGGCCTGCTCGACCGCGCCATGGCACTGCTGCGGGAGCCCTGGGACAAGGACACCGGCTACTATCTCAAACAGTGCGAAGGTTAGTATAGTTTATACTCGACATTAATACCTATAATGTCCCTGTAAGTTGTTTTGATAAATTGGGTGTCGAGTACCCACCTACCAAGTATTGACTAGTGCCAATCATCGATGTAGGACAAAGAACTACTTAGTTTTCTGCAAAATATATATATGCTGTTCTTTTAAATCACAAGTCACTAGGTCGGAAATTATTTTGATTGATACTTAGGTAGGTTTTACCAAAAGTTTTTATGTGACTATGTCGAAAAGAAAAATAAGGTTTACCGCTCCTAGAAACGACTTAATGTATCAGAACTTTTGCAGTAATTATAATAGATCACCTAAATATTTAATTCTGAAAAAGAATAATACCACAAAAGAGTTTGTAGTAATTAAACAAATCAAAAATCTAATAGTATATTTGGTGTTCAATCAGATCCCGCGTACTTCCCTGGTCGCTGCGCGGCCGTGGTGCTGCGCGGCGAGGTGGTGGGCAAGGTGGGAGTACTCGGCCCCGCCCTGCTCGCTGCCTTCGAACTCACCAACCCCTGCTCCGCGCTCGAGATCAATATACAACCCTTTGTTTAATTTAATATACAGATTATTATCGTACATACATAATAATATATAAGTAATAAAATTGCTGAATTGTTGAAAGGTGTATTATTATACCTATTTTTAAACAACATAACATAACATCACGCCTTTTATCCCCGAAGGGGTAGACAGAGGTGCACATTACGGCACTTAATGTAACACCCACTTTTCACTATTTATGTTATGAGTCCCATGTAATAGGGGGTGAGCCTATTGTCATATACCGGGCACAATTCAAGACTCCGTGCTACTACTGAGAATATTTAAAACCCAGTAATACTTCGCCCGACCCGGGAATCGAACCCGAGACCCCTTGCCCGGCAGTCGCACTTGCAACCACTCGGCCAACGAGGCAGTCGTATATAGTATATTTAGGATAAGAGCTGGCAAAAATGGACTGCTAGCAATCCATTTTCAACCGTCAGAGCTTTAACTCTGTTTACAGTAGCAGATTGCTGCTCGTTTTGGTTTTGCTTTCCGATCTATGGCTCCTATTATTTAGGTAGCTAATACTAATTGTCACTTATAAATCCATATTTTTTGTAGTTTTATTTTATCAGATCTTTTTTCAAATACATTAGGGTCGCCTGGCATATCCCCTTTACACCTGCTAAGTCAAACCCACATGTATATTTTTTTAGTTCATAGTTCTGACATACATAACGTCACGCCTTTTACCTCCGAAGGGGTACGCAGAGGTGCACATTACGGCACTTAATGCCACTGTACAATTAACACCCATTTTCACTATTTATGTTATGAGTCCCATGTAATAGAGGGTGAGCCTATTGCCATATACCGGGCACAATTCCAGACTCCGTGCTACTACTGGGAATTTTTTAAAAAAACCTAGTAAATCTTTGACAGACATGGGAATCGAACCCGAGATCCCTTGCCCGGGAATCGCACTTGCGACTACTCGGCCTACAAGGCAGTCATACTTCTGGCGTTCATCAAATAGGCAATACAAGTAACGAGATTGACTCGATTACTGGTATCTTATCAGTCGGTTATCGGCGGCGTTATTGATACACACACATTATAGTATCTACAATCATTAGCAATAGTAATTACTAATCTTAATAACTTAAGAAGCCAGTTTTATTACAATCATGCGTGATTTGTTAGCAGTGACAGGGTGACTTGCGTAGTTCTAGTGTCGTGCCTAGTTATTGACCGAGTATCTGTTTTTAGCATTAGTCTTAAATAAAAATATGGATGGATACAACTCTATAACGAGTACAGGCAGCATGTTAACTCTATAAACACAAAACATAACATCACGCCTTTACCTCCAAATGGGGTAGGCAGAGGTGCACATTACGCCACTTGATGCCACTGTACCAAATTTCACTATTTATGTTATGAGTCCCATGTAATAGAGAGTGAGCCTATTGCCACATACCGGACACGATTCCAGACTCCGTGCTACTACTACAAAAAAAATTATAAAACCCAGAAGTACTTTGCCCGAACCGGGAATCGAACCCCAGACCCCTCGCCCGGCAGTCGCACTTGCGACCACTCGGTTAACGAGACAAGCAGCATACTAGCGTTATAACATACCTAATAAAAAATTTACAGTTACAGAAACTCAAATTGTTTATGACTTCATAACTTAGAGACTTTCAATTCAACTAAAAACGCATTTATAATGACGTCAAGACCTATTAATTAATTATACTTATAGCTATAAAATAGTTAATTGTGTAGGTACTATTAAAACAAAGAAATGCTGTTCAATATATATTTTATTATTTGCGTACAATAAAACAGCACAAACAAAATTAACTATCAAAATCACATTTCATATAAGTAGACATACAATTTATAGTTAACTCGTATTTTTTCAACCAATAAAATTGAATTTAAGTTATATAGACTAAAAATGACACTCGGACATTTTTACAATAAACGTAAAAATAATTTAATTAAATAAATAATAAAAAGGTACCAATAGACATAGTAATTCGAAATCATAGGTCATATTCGATTTTTTTCGCTTATTCTTTTTAAGTATAATAATATATTTTATTATAGCATAATATAACTATTTACTTATTTTAAAAAAATACAAAAACTCATTGACTCTGCAAACAAAAATAATGATTTACGATGTTTGAGTACTAAAATTAAATAGCCATTAAAATTTTGTTGATGTAAAACTTGGGAACATTATTGTTCTAATTTCGTTGAAATATTTTCGCTGTCTGTCGAAGGAACCTCCTAATGTGAAAACAGTCATCAATAATAAAATTGTTAAGGCACTTCATATTGTAATTGACTGTGATTCCTAAACAGAAAGGCGGAAAATTAACATTTATGTTATGTATCTTGTCAACATTTGCTAAGGTGACTACATCTTCAATTAATTATGCATGTCCTAGCACTTTGAATAACATGTGTCAAATATCTTGAAGTCCATAGTGTAAACAGATATTGTTATTTAACTAAAGATGTAACAACTTTTATATATCAAGCTTCAGTCCATAGCTTACCTTAGATACCTTTTTCACTATATCAGACAAAGCCATGTTTAAAACAATCATCCAAAAGCTATATACTGAAACTATGATACAGTTAAAATCTACTATGTAGATGCATCTAAAAGTTATGTAATACTTCTTATTTTTTTTAAAATACTGAATATTATTTAAAATATATCATTAGTTGATACATACACCACAACACAACCTAAGAACTAGTATAATAATTTATAAAATAAGATATATTTAAAATCGTCATCACTTATCATAATTTACCAATTTAAATGATGTTAAATCACATTGAATATTACAATATTATTATGGTAAGTATTTATTATTTTCACAACTTTACTAATGAAATTTATTTAAAACAATGAAGCAGCATGTCCCTCAGGGAGGACAGCTGCCTTCATACAGTCGCAGTGGTGTAGTTAACATTTAAATAAATATTACATGTAAGTTGGACGGACATCTATGCTGCCTGCTGCCTTGAATATAATCATAACTAAGTCAATCAAGTAACAACTGTATTTGAAACATTTTCTCTAGTTCTGACCTGTTAAAGTTGGGAGCTATTATAAAGGGACATAGATAGAATGATAGTTCCTGGAGATTGGGTGCACTTGTTTTAATGGCTTTTGCTACTTGCATAGTGACATGGAGACAACGAGAGAGACTTAAGTAAGTCAGATTTTGAAATGAGTTATTGGTAAAATATGCAAGAAGAGCACTAGTAGAAAAGTAACCATGTCGTAATTTTAATGAATGCATATTTTTTAGTCTATACAAGTGCAATAAACTTGAATCAAAGAGAGTTTTACATGTCATGATGTGTAATACTTGCAATGCTTTACAATTGGATATGTGACGCATTATATCATCATTCAGAGTGTCTCCATATATATGTAAAGCTCTCAGAGTTGTCTGTTTAGTTCTCAGCAGAGACTCGAGGAAATCAGCTGGAATATTCTTCATCTTTTCCATACTAATACTGACTAAATTGGAGCACTGTAACATCTTGTAGAGACTATCATGTGTGAGGGCAAAGTTTGACAAAACAAGGGTCTCCAGATTCTGCAATTTATCAAATGGCAAATGGTAAACAAAATTACCATTTGCATTTTCAGGATTTTTCACTATTAGCGAATTCCGAAAACTTAAGAACTTTAGGTTTGGCCAGCAACCTAGATCATCAAAGATACAGCTGTCTACTTGAGATATACTTATTTCTAAATGAGTCAGATTAGGGCAGTAGCTTATTAAGGAAGCCCTTACTTGAGAATATAACTTGAAATACTGTAGTTTAACATTCTTCACATACTTAGCGACAAAAGGCACTATGTTTTCACTTATTCTCACATAGTTCTTCATACATACTATGAGGCGTGTTTTATCCCAAACGCATGGGGTCAAGCAGAGTTGTTGCCATCTCATACAAACTTTAGCAACTGCCAATAGCGATTCAAAATCGACCATTGAAAATATATAAATAAGTATTTCATTAGGTAGGTCATTTAAGGTGATAGTGCTTGGGTATAGAGGAGCACCCGTCACGTCGAGTTGCACCATGGTCGGCAGCAGAGCGCAGCCCCGCACTTCTGGAAACACACGACGAATGGTATGCTTTACACCAACACTATTTGTTACTTAGACACCACATGTTCACTAGCTGACGTCTAGTTACCATTTAAATTGTATTAAATATAAATAACAAGACAAAGAATATTAATTAACCCAGTAAGGTCATGAACCTTGAACAACCGTAATACGTATTTAAAATCAAGTTTAGGAATACAAATAAAATGATAATACAATTGGTAGAGTAATACATATAATTACCTCAGGTTTACCTTGCTTCCTATTCGAGAAAATTTTAATGTTTGCTTTGGTAAAAACATAACTTATGTAAATTTTTATCCAAACACACACAAAAACCACATATTAAAATACTCATTAAAAAGTAATACTCTGCATTTGGCTAAAATAGATCATCCCAAAGTATGGTACAATACTTCAAAATTATTTTTTTAAGATATATTAAAAATAACTTTCATCTTTGATGCTATTTTTGTATGACGTTATGACGTTTTACTAGAGAACATTTGACGTTTGACTGACTGATGGTATACGTTTCGTTTCTGTGTGAAATCCAACATGGTTGTAAAAAACAAAACATAATTTATTAATTTAAACTAACATTAATTTGTTTTTATTTGTACCTATTATGTTAGTAATCATATAATAAATCTAAATTCCTAATAGATTTTATAAAACCTAGACATACTCATAACTTTAACACATGTATATTTACTATTATCGCTTGCGGCCCGTAACGCACACTCGCATGGGGTCGCATCAGTCTTAAAACTTTAACATCTTATGATAATATAATCACGTTAAATCGTTAAATCTATTGTTTTCATTAAGACGCATGCTTCATTGCTTACTACAGGGACTGATATAAGATTATTTTTATCAGCACCAAATCAGACAATCTTGTTGCATTATTTAGAAAAAAATTGCGTAACCCATTTCAATATTATGAAATAAAAATATTATGTAAGTGACAATAATTAATTACACCATATTTTTGTTAGATGCGGTAGGTACACAATTAATTGTCAATTAATCAAGTGCCAATTGCGTTATATTACCATTTTATTGTCTAAGTATGGATAATAAATACGATGGATTAAATTCAAATATTTATTTACGTATGTATTGTATGAGTTAGTCTAAAAAAACGACGGAGGTAAGTATCCAGATGCGGGAGTTGATGCTGTTCCTGCTCCAGAATTAGTTCCTGCCGGTGGTATATAACCAGTTTGTGGTGTTGGAGCTGGTTGAGGGCTGGGAGCTCCTACAGGAGATGCTGACGGTGGAGATGAGTTGGGTGGCAAATATGAGGCACTCGGAATAGATACCGAACCACCTACGTTAGTTTGACTGCCTGCTGTCTTACCAGTGACAGTGCCTCCGATCGATGTACCAGATGTTCCAGATGTTGAAGTTCCCAATGGTGGCAAGTACTTATCGGACGGAGTACCCACTGAACCAGCTTGCACAGAAGTGCTACCAGTGTATCCCTGTCCAGAACCAGAATTAACAGAGACGCCTCCAATGCTCACACTACCACCAGTGGTCGCACTTCCTCCAGATGTACCACTCTCAGTGGGTGGTAAATATTTTGGCGCACTAGTGGATACATCTGACGAACCCTGAAGAGTTGGAGAAAGAGTAGGTGACGGAACGTTGTTACCGTAACCTGAACTAGATTGAGAAGAACCAGTGTTAGTGGCAGTTTGGCTTCCAGTTGCAGTGGCTTGCGATCCCGTTGAGACCTGAGAACCACTGTTGACTTGGGTTCCAGATGTCTGCGAACTATAATCGTAGCCACCAGCTGCGCTTCCAGTAGCAGAGGACCTGTAATTGTATCCCCCACCCCCACCTCCACCTGACGATACAGCAGTAGCAGTGGTAGTTGTGCTCTTCGAAGTTTGTCCAATGTTCACGGTGTCACCGCCGGCTGGCACTGGATACGCGTAAAACATTGTCTGCGTCAGCGTCCTGTCAACATTCGGTGCTTGAGTGGGTGCCGGAGTAGACCTCTGAGGCAGGTCAAATGATACACTGGGCTTGTTGTACACGTACCCGTCTTGTCGCCGCACTCGGACCCGCAGGTTCTCCTCTACAAATTCGCCAGCAGATTGTACAGGAATCGTTGCAATACTTTTTAACATTATAATAGTTGGAAGCAAAACATAAACAGAGTTCACCTTTAACCGCATTTTGTGTTTGAAGAAAAGTGTAGATTGTAAAGTCAATTTTAACTGTGCCTACCAGTATTTATAACAATGTCGAGGAAGTCACGAGACCTCGGTGTGTATTACGAAAGCTGTCGTTAGTTAACCCTTAGTTTACTTTATTAGGTACTTTAAGGAGCCAAGAAACCAACTAATTTAATAAAGAAAGTGGCATAAGTTTGGGCATACTAATCACAATATCCACGCTAGTTACTATCCATGTACTTAACTCGTCGAGTACCGGGTTTGTAGACACAATTATAGAACAATAGGTTGCGGTCACCGGTGACCGCTTGGTGTTTGACAGTTTAAAAAGCAAAAAATAATTATTATTAGTCATACGTACTTAAAGGTTACATGCCCACTGATAGGTAAGAAGTTTTTACCTTTTGCTTGTTTTTAGGTTTTGATATTTTGAAGTCGGTTTTTTTAGACGAAGTTTTTGTTTTTATTATCTTTCTTTTTAGTTAAGTATGTACAAGGCTATATAAACCCAGTAAACTACGTATATCCCACATGGGTGAAAAGTTATCATCAAAACAAATTAATCAAGCCCAAACACCAGGTAGCTACTGTTAACCGTTGAGGAGTTCCCTTAATTATCATACTACTTCATCACCAGGCCCCTATGACAATCACATCTCATCTAGATGTATCTTCTCAGTACAAATAATTTAAGCCCAAACATGGGGTCATTGCTACAAATCCTCGAGGAGTTCTTTCGACTGTCTCTTGACTCCATTCATCAAATTGTAGTAGATTTAAATACTATAGAGGTATACAAAATTTAATAAACGCTCTCGCCGCCCATACAATTTAAAAAAAGTTCGCCTTGGTTTCCATGGGATCCCATCATCAGATCCTGACCTGGTGGAAATGGGACCACCCCGAGAATATGACCTTTCCAACAAAAAAAGAATTATCAAAATCCGACGCCGGAGAAATCGAATAACATACAAATAAAAAAACATAGAGCCGAATTGATAAACTCCTCCTTTTTGGGAAGTCGGTTTAAAAATGGTAGGTACCTACTCAGCCAGCGTGACCATTGTAGCAGAATTTCATAAACATAAGGGATTGAAGGGCGCTCATCAAGTGTATGTTAAAGTTGGTGTCAAATAAGAATTTTACACAAGGTGTACGTAAGGTGTACATAGAATTTATGTATTAAGCTAGTGAATTGCTAACCAAACGTAATTTTTGATTTTTTTAACTATTGGCCTGTAATTTTTTACCCATCGCGATCGTGATAAGGAAACTGCCTCCCGTCGTCTTTGCAGACTCTGCAGGGCATCATGTAGACATCGCAGGGTTGACAAGTAACTTCAGTCAAAACTATAATTATGTGGTTTTGTTAAATTGCACAAACGTAAATTAACTTATTTTCTTATCTGTTCACGATCACGACCATTCTTAAGGAGATAGGTACCCCCCAATTGAGAAGTTTGTTTTTATGGATTATTTAATGACTTGGTTAATTTAATGATTTTCATTAATGCCAAATTTTAAGCTTAATGGATACTTTTAATAAATGAACTCAAATTATTTGCACCACAACATACCTAATGAATAATGTTTTTTTCACTATTATATATATAAATTTTGTAGTTGATACCCATAACATAAAATAATACCCATAATCCCCAAAGGTACCTACTACATCTTAATCTACAATAAATTATTATCAATATTTTGACGGCAAGTTATTGTACCGAGCGAAAATATACTTAATTGTCATTGCCTAATCTTATCTGCAAAATATTTAAAAATAAAACGATATAGGTAAGACTTCTGCATGGTCTGATTTTAGCATCCGGCTTCTCAGTATCACTCAGGATTCCAACAAGTATATAAAATTGGATAAGCGAAATTCGATACCATAGTGAGATAGGTCGTGTAGGCTAGTGTTTCTAACCGCTAGCAATATACCGGTATAGGTAGGTATACATTGAATACAACAAGTGAAAGAGTGTCTCGTATCTCGACCCTCGCACAAACATTCAATTCATTTCTGTGTCAAACTCCGCACACGATCCACGGTACTGATAGAACTGGTAAGTGCTTATAATATTATTTTAATTATTATTTAGAAACAATATTTATTATAAAATTTGACTTTTCATTTAAAAATGTGGGCTTTCTCTCGCTGTGCGTGTTTTAAGTTTAACCAGTAGTAGAATTTTTGCAAACAAATTTGATTACTTAATTGTTAAGTATCAAGACTCTCTGATCTAAAAATAATGACTTGATGATTGATGACTTACAGAGTAGCTTTCATTGATCTAAGAGAGAAAGTTGAAGCCTACTTTGGTTTTTCATTTCTATTTTTACTTTATAAAGACTCAACTCAAGGAAAGATCTAGTGGGTCTGGGTACTATGGTCATTATATTTGCATAGTGCAAATTGCAGTTAGATTCCACATTTTGGAACGAGCACCTAGCTTCACTGACGGACAGACTGACAGACTATTATTTTTTTTTTTGTTGACTTTTCAAAAGTACCAAGTTATGGTTTAATTGAAATAAATGCTTTGACTTTTACTTTGCAATTGCTCATTACAGTGCAAAAAAAGGAGTAACAATTTTTTTTTTACTAATTTATCAATAGACGACTAGAAACGTTAATTTTTTTTTAATAATGTATTTCTATTTTAATAATTTAATTAGCAAACGCTAGCAGCTACTAAAGTACTTATCTACCGGCGTAGGAAGTGTACGTTTGACTAGGTTCTAATTTGTCCTTGATGTCAATTTGTACTCCAACCGCATACCTTGTTATCCCCTTCACTGTTCATAAACAGTTGAATTTTGATCTGCCAGGATATTTCCGACGTAAATCCTCCTTTACATAACTATTTTTGTAACGTTTTTAAAGTAACTACCGAAAAATCTTGCATATAATCTATTTTCAGCACAATGGTCCTAAAACTGTACTACTTGGAAGATGGGCCGCCTTCCCTCTCATGCAGGCAAACCTTGGAGGCGCTGGGGGTACCCTTTGAGATCGTCAACGTTAGCTTTTACCATGGCGAGCATATGACTGAGGAATTTGCAAAGGTGAGTGTTTTAGCACTGGTAAAAAACTGTGATATCTAGGTACTAAAATTTTCGTCATCATCAGTCTGGCTGATCGCAGTTTTAGGGTCTAGGCACTAATAAACATGGATGAGATGATAGGTAGGTAGATACCACAGAATATTAAAAAAGGTAGATACCCACCCAGTTTCTTCTACATTTCTATTCAGCATTTGGTTATTATCCTTAGCATGACTTATTTTATGGCATATGGTATGGCATTAGTATTATTAGTTAGCATCACCTTTTTACTCATATCATATTGGTTGGCATGTAATTTTTTTTGTCAACATTTTTCTGCCAGTCATGGTTGTTTAAGACGATTGGATAATGTGAAATATTTCATAACAGTTTACACAGTGATAAGTGAGAATGATAAGTTTACAGATAATGTATAATATCCCCTCGGGCGAACAAACACACATTTATGAGTTTTATCTCCTAATAAAGAAAAAAGATAATACCCATTACTTATAAGAAGAAGATCTGTCAATTTTTATTCTACAAGTAGGTATGTACTGTAGGTAGGCAAGTCGTAAGACCGAAACACAATAACGACCTTGCTGTAAGCTGTCCAAACTGTAGTCCATACTTGCTTAGATTGAAGTTATAAAAAGGTTGACATTGAATCGAGGTTAGTTTATGCAGAATATTTTTTATGACGCACCTCGCCATTTGTAACAAAATCAGGAAGTGTTCAACAATTCTGATTACTCGCCTGTAAAAACTATACTACAGAAGAGAACTGTAGTTCTCTAGTAGTAGTAGTACATAAAAGATTATAAATTGAAAACGTATTTCTTATTATGTACCTAAGAATAAAAAATTGAACGAGGCAACTCCATAGGTATTCAGAGTTAACTTAACAAAGTACCTACTCCATGTATTTTGCCTCGAAGGTAAAACTTACTACTTCATCCAGTATCTTGTGACAATAGTACCTAGTCTAGATTTATAACGACCTAGATACTAACATTATAATATGATTACAGTACCTACTACCTACAGTTACTGTGCATTGTTGAACAATTTGCACACAATACATATTCATATCTAAGCTATCGACATAGTTAGATAAGTTTTACTGTCTTAAATCTTCAGAAAAACCCACAAAAGGAACTGCCAGTACTGGAAGACGATGGTTTCTTTTTAAGCGAGAGTGTCGCCATGATGCAGTACATATGCGACAAATTCAAGCCGAACAGCTCGTTGTACCCGACAGACTCAAAAGCAAGGTGAATTCACATCATTATTTTTAATGGAATAAATCGACAAACTATAAGACGAATCGCCTGATGGTAAGCAATCGGCGTCGCTCATGGACATCCGCAACCCCAGAGGAGAAAGTTACAAGTAGAATGTTGGCGACCAATTTTGGGTTTTTGGGGGATTGAGGATGGGGAAAGACTTTCACACGGGCAAACTTAACACAAACGTTATTTCACGCCATTTATCTTTATTGTACGATGTTGAAATGGTTTCAAAGTTATTAAAAATACCAGTTGGATGATGACCCACTTCTCTTCCTCCGTTAACATTTTGTGCATTGTTCATTCCAGGGCTATAATAAACCATCGGCTGATGTTCACCATGACTACATACTACGCTGAGCTGTTAAATTATTTTGTAAGTCTCATCCTTATTCATTGGTACCAAAATCAAATAAGTGATATAAAAAAATAACACAATTGCAAATTACTTAAACGGTTACTCCGGCGTTAGTGGATGTCATACTCTCGGGGTGGTCCCATTTCCACCAGGTCAGGATCTTTACAAAATTGTATGGGTGGCGAGAGCGTTTGTTAATTTTTTTGATATAGTATTTGAAACTACTACAATTTGATGAAGGTATGGAGTTGCTCTGATGAGAGTTTTTAGCAATGAATTTGTAGCAATGACCCCATGTTTGGGCTTAAATTATTTGTATTGAGAACATCTTTACATCTAGATGGGATGTAATTGTCATTAGGGGACTGATGATGAAGTAGTATGATAGCTAAGGGAACTCCTCAAAGTTTAACAGTAGCTACCTGGTGTTTGGGCTTGATTAATTTGTAGTGATGAGAACTTTATACCTAAATGGGGTATGACTGTCAATAGGGGCCTGATAATGTAGGAGTACGATAGTTAAGGGAACTCCTCAACGGCTGACACTAGCTAATTACGATTAATAGCTACTATTAATCGTTTACCTGGTGTTTGAGCTTGAATAATTTATTATGATGAGAGCTTTACATCTATGTGGGATATGCGTAGTATACTGGTTCTATATAGCCCTGACTAAACTAAAAAGCATAAAAATAAAAACAAAAACTGCGTTTAAAAAAACCGACTTCGAAATCCAAAACCTAAAAACAAGCAGTCAAAACTAAAAAGCAAAAAATAGCTATCATTAGTCATACATACGTACTTATAAGTTACCTACCCACTGATAGGTTAGAAGTCGGTGCCACAAGCCCATAACAAAATATAACTTACGTTATTGGTCATGGTTATAAATTATAATCTGTCATAAAATTGTACGTAGCTTAGGTAATATAAGGTTTTTGTCTTCTGGCCCCGACTACTCACCTATCAGTGGTTGGGTAACCTATAAGTACGTATGACTAATAAGTTATTTTTTGCTTTTAGTTTTAACTTTTTGCTTGTTTTTAGGTTTTGGTTTTCGAAGTTGGTTTTTTTAAATGCAGTTTTGTTTATATGTTAACGACTCTCATTTCGCATAGCAATAGAAACGGAACGACGCCCCGTGAACATATAGGCAACAACGATATTTCTACTCTGCAATAATGTACGGCCTATTGTATATCCTTATAATATTCTCATTACAGATTATGCCGGTTTATTTCAAATACGAGCGTACTCCAGAGGCGTTGAAGCGTGTGCACCGTGCTCTAGACTTGTTTGAAACGTACCTGGAGCGCGAGAACACCAGCTATTCTGCTGCCAACCACCTCACCATCGCTGACTTCCCTCTCATCAACGCCACTATGGCTATGGAAGTCACTGACTTCGACTTTTCTAAATACAAAAGGGTGGGTTACCATTTTACATTTCTTTAAATTAGCAAATAATTAAAACCATTTTGTAATCGTACCAAAATAAGCTAAGGCTATTTGAACATAACTAAGGAATGGACTGGACTTCTTACGGCTCTGAAAACAAACGAGATTTTTTTTATGGGATAAGGCGGTAAACGAGCATACAAATGATGCTAAGCAATCAGCGTTGCCCATGGGGACCTGGAAAACCAGAGGCGTTACAAGTGCGTTACCGGCCTTTTGGGGATTAGGAATTTGAGCATTGTTGGGGATTCTGGATTCTGAAAGTTGTGGTGTCCCGGAGGCTTAAGACGCCCGTTTTCCTTCCGATGGGTTCGAAACCTACGGCAAGTACAAGTACCAATGTGATTTTTTCCGAGTTGAGTATATGTAGTTTCTAAGACTATTTAGACGCCATTCACTGAAAAACGGTGAAGGAAAACATCGTGAGTAAATCTGGGCTTATAATTTATAATTATAAGTTTGAAATCGCCAACCCGCATTGAGCAAGCGTGTGGTGATTAATGCTCAAACCTTCTCCGTGTGAGAAGAAGCTTTGCTCAGCAGTGAGAACTTATAGGCTATTGATGATTATGATGATGATGGGGATTCTGATATTGGGGTAATTGGGGAGAAGAGGGAGGGATTGGGGAGATGGGGTACCTAATTGGGCCTCTGGTAACCTCACTCAGACGACGAAACACAACGCAAGCGTTGTTTCACGTCGGTTTTCTGTGAGGCCGTGGTATCACTCCGGTCGAGCCGGCCCATTCGTGCCGAAGCATGGCTCTCCCACACTTAATCTTCTAGTTTCTCGTGGGCTCGAAAACCTGAGGTTAAGAAGAGAGCGATGTTTTCTCCTTATTCTCTGTAACTTTGACTACCTGTCAAACTACGACCATGGGGTATTTGAGGCTGAGGCTAGGAGGCCAGGCTAGCAATCAGTAAATTCGATGTCGGTGCGCTAACTACAAACTCCCACCAGACTAAAAACAATACTTATAATTATACCTAGTTTTATTTAAATTCTAGGCTACTGGTTTCCTATCTGAAAATTATTCTATTCTCTACTACTTTTTAATCCGTTGTCTTATTTACCTACTTACCTAGGTTTTTTCTTATAGATAACAAAATGGTACAATGACTTTAAGAAGAACCAGCCCAAACTATGGAGCATCACAGCCGAGGGTATGAGATTGATGAGGAAATGTGTAGAAAACCCACCAGACCTATCACACTTAAACCACCCTATACATCCTGCGAGGAAAGCCGAATAGAACAGCTAAACGAAAACTATTCTGAACCATTTTCTCTAATACTTTTGTAATTTTCGAAGAGAGGGCGCTGAATTCAATTTTTGTAGGAATAAGAATGAAGTGCATATATTTTATCAAATGTTGAAAAGAATACTGCTTTACTTTTTTTCTTTTCGAAACATCTACATGTCTACTTAATACATTTTGTAAATTATAACTTTACTGAATAATTATTTATTGATCCCCTTAAGCTAATTTCTGTACGTTCCTACGAAGTTCTTGTATTAGTCGACAGGTGGCAATGTTAGCTAAAAACATAACGTTATACAGCAAGGTTTCTAATACGCAAAAAAGACGACAAAATGTTGGTTAAATGAAAATTGCTAAGACCAGAAGACTACGTGTTAGAATAATACAACATAGATGTACCGTTTAATTTAATATTTTAATAACAATTTTTAAAATTAAGTACATGGATATTTTAGATCCTCGCTTAAGCTGATTACGAGTCCTCCTCTTCCAGTTCTCGCCCCGACACACATCTCTTCATATAACCAAGGCAGGCATTAGTACAGCAATCTTTGTGATTCATACACTAAAAGAGAAAACAAAAACATGACGGAGACAGGTAGAAATGGGAACCGACACTTATAAAAATGGTTACAAACACTAAAATATCCAGAAATTATCCGAAGAACTCAATAGAATTAGATAATTAGACACTCAAAACTCGTAACCTCTGTATTCACATAACTCTGATGTTCTTTATTGAACACTGTAATTATATAATAACAAAAATACTCATAACCTACATAAATAATACGTAAACAAAAACGTTTTCACACTACCTACATTATCTAGCTTCTTTCTTGAGAAGCTTCTGGCAGCATACCAACGCGATGACAGGACAATGCAAGATGCAAGTGTGCATGTGTGATGCATAAATTAATATAAACAAAGAAGGATACACCCACAACTTGTCAAGGACCGCTTACACATCCATTTATCCAGATTAACTATTCATTCCGACATCGTTAAATCAGCCTAACAAAGGCTATTAAACAAGATTTTCCTTATTCGCGTCTCTCATCGTTGCTACATCCTATTTGAACTCACGATACTCGACAAAAACAAGACAAGGAAAATTACTTTTAAAACTTACGAATTCGCCGATCTTAGCACATCCAGCATTCTCAGTGACACTGTTTGGTTGTGGCACTTCAATGGGCGTCGCTTCTGGTACACTGTTCTCTTCTAATTCCGCATCAGGGAGAGGAATATCCTTCGTGACTCGATCAGTGATCAAACTGCAAGTTACGCAGGTTGACACAATGAGGAACAAAAGTAAGGTTGTGAAGCGACGCATTGTGGTTAGATGCAGGACGATACTAACGGAGCCGTGTGTCGGGTGCTGATATAGGGTCAGCTGACATTCGCATTAACGGCACCCGTATGGAGTCCGATAACGGAGGTGTCGTAAACATCGCTTACAGGACGTTGTTTTTGTCGGTACCGTGTTTTTATTACTCATTTCGTTCTTTTAGTGTCCATTTTGTTATTCATTTCTCCAGATAGTTCTGTTTATTTTTTCAACGGTATAATTGACAGAGTTGTCGATACGACATAATCTTAATGGTCTCCATACAACATTGTAAAACATAACATAACATTTTGTTGCATCGAATAAAACATAATTACGGTCAACAACAACATAATACGGTTTGAAGTAGGTTAAAAATATATAGTAATATTGAAAACAAAAAAAAGTTGTCATTGTTAGTAAGAAATGGGCTCACGAATTTGAAACGATACTTTTCTTCACTTAGCTTCTGCCAGCGGCTTCGACGGCATTCCCAGGGGTATAAAGTAGCCTATTTGTTACCCCAGTCAATAATTTACCTCTGTTACAAATTACATTCCCCTCCCTTCGGCCGTTTTGATATGACTGAGAAACAAACATAGTACACACAAACTCACATACTTTCACATTTATAATATCCGTTCAAGCTAATTTCAACCATCGGCCCTACTGTTACAGCGTAAAGTCCACTGCGGGCCACCTAACATTCGACAAACTTATATTTGCGTTTGGTACAGTAACTGTGTCTAGGGATTGAGCCACATAATTAAGTTTGTGTTTTATAAGAAGTACCCAGTGTTGTGACCAGACCAGGATATTGAAGTATAACAAATTTCATCATAATCGGAACGGTAGTTTTTCCGTGATGCCTGCACATACAGACAGACAGTCAAAAAATTTAAATCCCATTTTTTGATTCGGTGGCTATCAATACAATAAAATTTTCAATTTACACATCTACATTTTTTTTAGATGTACGTACCTACAGATTTAATTTGTTCCCATGGTCTACGGTGTCCACTTCTATGTTTAATTATGTACCTACTGAGATCTTTTTATCCATCGCTTAATCGATCAAAAAGTAGTTATTTTGTCAGGAGTCGGGAGTACCTACAATGCAAAATATATGCTGCACCTTTTTGTTATTAATCGGAATTCCTGTTTGAGAAGGAAACTCAAACTCCATAACCTTTTTGTTTGCAACAGGTTTTACAACTATTGAGATTCAGTTTTTGTTAGTGGTAACTGTCAAACACCTTGAGGACACCGGTATCCGCACACGTATTGTTCTTTAATTGTGTCTATAATGGCGGTACTCAAAGGGTTAAACGGTTTATTAGCATATTCCGAAACTCAAATCCTATCAAAATTACCAAATAATTTGTGGATAAGAGAAGGTTCAATACTACCGACAGTTTCGTGGGTGAAGTTAATATAGTTTCTGATGAAGCCACATTAACGGCACCCGCATTGACCAGCGATAACAAACGAGAAAATATCACCTACAGGACGTTGTTTTATTTATTTTCCACTGAACCTGTTTCCCATCTATACTAGAGAGTCATTCAAATATTTTATTGGCAAATCGATAAAACAGAGAGGGAGGAAAAAAGTAAAACAAAACGCATCAAACAAAATGGTTTTTATTTAATAAAAAATAGTAATTAGAAAAATTAGTAATTTAAAAAATTAGAAAAATTTAAGAAAAGTATATATATATGTATATATTACCTGTATATGTAATAATAGTAACATTCCTGAATAAAATCAATTATTGTAGACATTTCTCGATTTCTGTCAAACAATAGTGGTTCTCACAGCATTGGTCATCCTCTTCACACTGAAAGAAGAGAAAGGTACAATTTATAGTAAACTGTCGTCATTAACTGTCAAGAGACGGCCTCTGCTGAACTCATGCCCCGGGCCTAAAGACTTCAACATTGATCAGTTAAATTTCAAGTAGAGATAGATAAGCGATTTTCGTAATCGTATAAATACTCAAATGGATAAATTTAAATACCGATAAATACAATCAAATAAATAGGTATTTATCAAAAAAGGCGAATAAAGTCTCATTTTTTAATCATCATTTATTATTGTGCCCAACAGAATTGCGTTCGATGTTTTCTTTGCAAATCAATTAAGTATATTCATCGTATTATTTATTCAGCCTATTATTATTATAATAAGTTGAATAATTAATTAAATGAATTTTAAAGTTCTATAATACTCACAGGGTCTCCACTGTGTCCACAACGTGCTGTAACCCGCAATATCAATTGATTAAATAAGATAAATACAAACATAACTATGACAATCCAACGCATTATTGAAAAATACGTTTTTCAAAATACAGTGATGAATTGATAGACGAATGGTGTTCAAGAAATAACTAATGGTATTTTGTCAATACAACTCTTTTATATAGGTAGTGGCATTACCACCACCTGTGATATTATTGGCGATTTATATACATACTACTTAATATTTTAATTATAGATACTTAATAATATACGCCTGTATGTATATTAATTATGATTCCACGTTATAGATTTATAACGTAGAATTATATTGGGCAAGTTTGTAATTATTTAAAAATAACAAAGTCAACAATTATTTTTATAGTATATAAATTAGACATCGTATTGGTAATAAATGATTAAATGTAGATAGACATTTTATAAAAAAATGATCTAGGAAAATCACAATTTGATTTAGTTTGTTTTTTAAGGTGAGGCGAGAGAGAGAAATTGTCAAACAAAATCACCCTAATCCCACTCGTGCTTCTCGAACCGGAGCTCTCTTTTTAAGTACTCTGTGCTCCTTGCGGAGCCTCGTAGGTATATAGTAAATTAGTTATATGACCGGCAGTATGAATGTTTGTTATAAAAACTCATACAGCCTTTGAAAAACTAAACCATACCATACCAATGATTTTTTATAGTACCATACCATCAAAAGTGACAAGATATATTTTGTAAACGCACAAAAAGTAATGAAAAATAATAAAATTTAATATAAAAATATGTTGAGGGGTAAACATTTGGAGGGTCTTATAACACTACTCAACAAATTTTCAACTTTTGATTTTATCTGAGGTCGCATTATGTGATTACTATTTCTTGCCACTAAAGTAATAAAAATATGCAAATATACACACACCATCACATCTCAATGTCCAGATAAACATCCATGTCCGAAATCACGAATTTTCCATAATTTTATTGTAATTTTAATTGAAATGGCGTAGTTTTTTTGGAGTAGCTGGCTTTTCTCTTGTACTCAGTAGCAGGGGTCTCTCTAATAAGGCTCCAACAGTAATCCGCGAGCATAGCAGGCTCCCATCTGCCTTGAAATCGCTTTTCAAATGCAGCAACATCTTGGTGAAAGCGTTCGCCATGTTCGTCACTGACGCATCCCATATTTTCAGGGAAAAAGTCCAAATGCGAGTGAAGAAAATGCAACTTAAGTGACATATTGCATCCCATTTTATAGTAGTAGTCCAATAATACTTTTATTTTTTCGCGAAAATCTTCAGATTTCTTGTTACCAAGGAAATTGTTAGTGACATCGACAAAAGCCTTCCATGTTTGTTTTTCAATATTATTGAGAGCAGATATAAAAGATGGATCTTGAATCAGCTTTTTTATGTCTGGACCTACGAAAACACCCTCTTTAATTTTCGCGTCACTAAGCTTAGGAAACTTACGATTTCGGCGTAAACTCGCCACAAATATAGCAAAATAAATCAGGACTGTTAACACACACTCGCTGCATTTTAGAAGTCAGTTAATATACTAACAAATGCACTATGTTCCATTTGCAAAAGTAATAAGTTTCCGGACTACCCGCATTTTAACTTTTGTAGGTAGGTAAAAAAATTAAAAAATCTTTATCCCTATAACCAGATGTGATATCGAAATAAAATGCATACAGTATTTTTATATTGGTCAAGCTTATTATGAAATAATATGAATTGGTTCAGATATTTTTTAAGTGTTGAGTAGTGTAATTTGTGTGAGACCCGAAAATCTTTTCCGGCAACTTCCTCTGCCCGAATTAGCGGAATTAATTGTTTCTATTTTTCTAAAGTTTCTGCCAACCTTTGAACGCATGCTTTAGGCGGGAAAAAATCGTTTATATTGACTTTTGTGATTACTGAAATAGAAGAAAGATGGGAAGTTTAATCCCCTGTAGTATGGGGGACTGCAGTCCGTATAATTGATACCTACGACAGATCCGGCGCTAGCTACGCCCTTGATATTAACATTGATATTAATTAACAGTAGTATCCACTACTGTTATGTTGTCCTTCAATAACCAAATGAATAAATTAAACAACCTGTAGACTACGCTCAACATACAGCCATTTAACCTCATCAACATAATCCACTAATCTGTTATACAGGACACTGACATTGGAAACGATTATTTATCTATTCTAAATACCTGTGTTAATAGTAGTTAAAGTAACAATACCGAGGCGAGCGCCTACGCCAGCCTAAATATTTTGCACTAGCTGTTACCCGCGACTTCGTTCGCGTGAAATTTTTCATATTTCTTGTTAATTTATACTTTTTTGACGTAACAACGTGTTGATTGACGAGGCGTATTTGAGAGCTAGTATAAAACGGAACGTATATTGTCTACTTAAGATGGCAACTACAATTTGTCTGTCAGTGTCATTAAAATAAATTAATAAAACGAAATAATCTCCGTAATCCGAATTTTGCGGATATACGTTGTCGACTCGAAATCGATATTTTTTTATGTTTTAGATCGATAACTATTCGATCGAAGTACCGTACCGTACCCTTTGACGTAATAGGCTATTCTGCAACATTTTGATTTCTTTTTTAAATGTTCGTATAATATCTGATTATCAATACATAGTATAAAACAAAGTCGCTTTCGCTGTATGTCCGTATGTATGCTTAGATCTTTAAAACTACGCAACGGATTTTGATGCGGCTTTTTTTAATAGATAGAGTGATTCTTAAGGAAGGTTTATATCATGCATATTGCACCCGTGCGAAGCCGGGGCGGGTCGCTAGTCAAGTATAATTTTCATTTCAGCAAAATATGACCGCTTTATGCCGAAAAAAATATCAAAAATTTGTTGTAAAATTGAATTTAAAATAAAATTTAAATTTAAAATTTTGGTAACATCAGTAGTATGAAAATATTGAAACGTCAAATGGCCAAGCCATTGATTTTGTAAACAAGTTGGTTGCGTTGTGATTTTGTTGTATTTATAATATAAAGATGAGTTTCAATAACCCGTATCGTTTGTGTGTTACGTTAAATTGCAAGAATTCTATATTAAAATTTTATTTATTAAACACAAAAAGTAGTAAAAATTTGACTTGACAAGAATGCTATTGTTTATTATAAAATATTTTGATACTTCTGACGTCACTCTCGAGAAAATCGTGGCGGACGACGTTTTTGGTCACGTGACATACAGATAATAAAACTTTGATTATAATTTTGAAATTTAAAAGTAATCCTATGTTTTTATGGAATAAAAACATTTTTTTTAATTCCTCACGTTTTAAACTATACAAATAACATAACGTTATAACTTATAATTTATTGTTGATAGCTGAGAATACCCTATTTATTATTAATGTAGATCATCTAAGCGTCATAAATAAGCGTGACTTCAGAAAAAAGGTGACAACAAAAATTATGACTAATGCACCTACTATGAGTAAAAAGGTGATGCTAACTAATAATACTAATACCATACCAAGCCATAAAATAAGTAATTTTTTTAAATCTTTATTTACTAAGAAGGACGTTTTTCCTTAGAGAAAATGTCAGCCCTATTATAGGATACAAATATTACAAAAGGTTTAACTAACCCTTAAGCTTAAACACAAAATAATTAACTCCTACAATTTTCTGGCCTCAGATGACAATGCAATCATCATCATCAGCCTGTATTCGTCCACTGCTAGACATAGGCCTCTCCTATGGCACGCCACTGAGCTCGGTCTTCAGCTCTTCTCATCCAACCACTGCCAGCCACCTTGCAGATGTCGTCACTCCACCTAGCTGGAGGGCGCCCTACACTGCGTTTGCCCAGACGCGGTCTCCACTCTAGAACACGTTTACCCCAACGGTTATCGGTTCTTCAACAAATGTGACCGGCCCACTGCCACTTCAGCTTACTGATCCTTTGGGCTATATCAATAACTTTGGTTCTCTGTCGGATCACTTCGTTTCGGATTCGATCCTTCAAAGAGACTCCGAGCATAGCCCTCTCCATAGCTCGCTGCGCGACCTTAAATTGGTGGACCAGTCGCACTGTCAGTGTCCACGTCTCGGCTACGTATGTCATTACTGGAAGGACGCACTCGTTGAAGACTTTTGTCTTCAGGCTTTGCGGTATCTGAGACGAGAAGACTTGATTAAGTTTTCTATATGCTGCCCAGCCAAGCTGTATCCTTCTACGGGCCTCCTTTTCGAAGCTGTTCCTACCAAACTGCAGGGTTTGTCCTAGGTAGATGCAACGCAATGGTGACGCTAAAACACTGTGATAAAAACCAATATTAAAGCTCTTAAAACTAAAGACCTGATATCTCTGAGACTCAATACGTCGACACTCATACAAAATGTGTTGCACATCCTCTACAACATCACACACAGCACAATTTGGTGATTCGACTTTATGCATCATGAATCCGAAACTATTAAGAGGCATATGTCCAGATCGGAGCCTTAAAGCTGTGACGATTTCTTGTCTACTCATCCGCCTTCACCGAACCAGAGAGCACGAGGAAGCGTCGGTTGTCTTGTTTTATACCAAATGCCTTTAGTAAGTGACCTTTTGTCAAAGTATTCTGACCATACTTTATAGCAACTTTCTCTTATTACAGGCACACTGATACATATTCACATCTAAGCTATCGACCTAATTAGATAAGTTTTACGGTCTTAAATCTTCAGAAAAACCCATAAAAGGAACTGCCAGTACTGGAAGATGATGGGTTCTTTTTAAGCGAGAGTGTCGCCAGGATGCAGTACATATGCGACAAATTCAAGCCGAACAGCTCGTTGTACCCGACAGACTCAAAAGCAAGGTGAATTCACATCATTATTTTTATTGGTATAAATCGACAAACTATAAGACGAATCGCCTGATGGTAAGCAATCGGCGTCGCTCATGGACATCCGCAACCCCAGAGGAGAAAGTTACAAGTAGAATGTTGGCGACCAATTTTGGGTTTTTGGGGGATTGAGGATGGGGAAAGACTTTCACACGGGCAAACTTAACACAAACGTTATTTCACGCCATTTATCTTTATTGTACGATGTTGAAATGGTTTCAAAGTTATTAAAAATACCAGTTGGATGATGACCCACTTCTCTTCCTCCGTTAACATTTTGTGCATTGTACATTCCAGGGCTATAATAAACCATCGGCTGATGTTCACCATGACAATTTTTTCCTTATTCTTTTTGAATTTGAACATATCTACGGAATGGATGACTGGACTACCTATTTAAGGCCCTGAAAGCAAACCAGTGTCTCGTAGGCTACGGGCTTGGAGACCTGAGCTTAATAAGACAGCGATAATTTTCCTTATTCTTGTCTGAAACTTTGATCATGTATCAAATTACGGCCATGGCGTCATTTGAGGTTGACGCCAGGCTAGGAATCAGTATTTCGATATCGTTGTCGACAATGTCGACCTCATCGTTCGCTTGATAAAATTGACGTGTAAAAGTGCTGCCTTGTAGCCTATTTGCAGAAATAAATTCACTTGTTTCACTTGTTGCACTAACTAGTTTCCTATCTAAAACTCTTCTAATTTATATGACTTGTTAATGCGTCGTCTTATTAACTTCTTACCTAACTAATACATCTTTGTTCTTATTGATTTCGAAGAGAGGGCGCTGTATTCAAGTTCTGTGTTAATATACTGAAATGCAATTATTAATATCAAAAGCAACATACCGGCCGAACGTCTAACCTCCTCCTTTTTTGAAGTCGGTTAAAAAGTTGGAAAGAATATTGTTTTAACCTAAATAAACCTGTCATATATTTTGTAAATTATAAAAAGTGATTGTATAGGTACTTATTTTTAAAACTCCTAAAACTATTGCTTCACCAGGATGTTCCACTGCTAAGAACACAGGACTACGTGTTAGAAAAATACAACTCCAATTAAATAGATATTTACCGTTTATTTCAATATTTCAATAATAATTTTTAAAAATAAGTACATAGATGGATGTTTTAGATCTAATCCTCGATTCAGCCGATTACGACAATTAGCTCAACTGCTCTTCCTCTTCCAGTTCTCGCCCCGACACACATCTCTTCATATAACCCAGGCAAGCATTAGAACAGCAATCCTTGTGATTAATGCACTAAAAAAGAAAACAGGAATATGAAGGAGACAAGTAAAAATGCGCTTATACTTAAAAAATGCATTGAACAATAAAAGATCTAGACATTAACCGAAGGACTCAGTAGAATTAGATAATTAGATACTCAAAACTCATAGACCAACCACGGAATTCGCATATAACTGTGATGTAACAACATATTGAACGCCGTAGATAATTATATTTACAAAAATACTACCTACCTAAATAATAAACGTTTTCACACTACCTACATTATCTAGCTTCTTTCTTGAGAAGCTTCTGGCAGCATACCAACGCGATGACAGGACAATGCAAGATGCAAGTTTATGATGCATGAACTTGCATCATAAACTTGCCCACAACTTGTCAAGGACCGCTTACACATCCATTTATTCCGACATCGTTAAATCAGCCTAACAAAGGCTGTTAAACAAGATTTTCCTTATTCGCGTCTCTCATCGTTGCTACATCCTATTTGAACTCACGATACTCGACAAAAACAAGACAAGGAAAATTACTTTTAAAACTTACGAATTCGCCGATCTTAGCACATCCAGCATTCTCAGTGACACTGTTTGGTTGTGGCACTTCAATGGGCGTCGCTTCTGGTACACTGTTCTCTTCTAATTCCGCATCAGGGAGAGGAATATCCTTCGTGACTCGATCAGTGATCAAACTGCAAGTTACGCAGGTTGACACAATGAGGAACAAAAGTAAGGTTGTGAAGCGACGCATTGTGGTTAGATGCAGGACGATACTAACGGAGCCGTGTGTCGGGTGCTGATATAGGGTCAGCTGACATTCGCATTAACGGCACCCGTATGGAGTCCGATAACGGAGGTGTCGTAAACATCGCTTACAGGACGTTGTTTTTGTCGGTACCGTGTTTTTATTACTCATTTCGTTCTTTTAGTGTCCATTTTGTTATTCATTTCTCCAGATAGTTCTGTTTATTTTTTCAACGGTATAATTGACAGAGTTGTCGATACGACATAATCTTAATGGTCTCCATACAACATTGTAAAACATAACATAACATTTTGTTGCATCGAATAAAACATAATTACGGTCAACAACAACATAATACGGTTTGAAGTAGGTTAAAAATATATAGTAATATTGAAAACAAAAAAAAGTTGTCATTGTTAGTAAGAAATGGGCTCACGAATTTGAAACGATACTTTTCTTCACTTAGCTTCTGCCAGCGGCTTCGACGGCATTCGCAGGGGTATAAAGTAGCCTATTTGTTACCCCAGTCAATAATTTACCTCTGTTACAAATTACATTCCCCTCCCTTCGGCCGTTTTGATGTGACTGAGAAACAAACATAGTACACACAAACTCACATACTTTCACATTTATAATATCCGTTCAAGCTAATTTCAACCATCGGCCCTACTGTTACAGCGTAAAGTCCACTGCGGGCCACCTAACATTCGACAAACTTATATTTGCGTTTGGTACAGTAACTGTGTCTAGGGATTGAGCCACATAATTAAGTTTGTGTTTTATAAGAAGTACCCAGTGTTGTGACCAGGATATTGAAGTATAACAAATTTCATCATAATCGGAACGGTAGTTTTTGCGTGATGCCTGCACATACAGACAGACAGTCAAAAAATTTTAAATATAATTTTTTGGTTCGGTGGCTATCTAGTAACACCCCCTACTAAGTACTTATTATTTTAATATTTACAATTTACACTTCTACAATTTTATTAGATGTATGTACAGATTTAATTTGTTCCCATGGTCTACGGTGTCCCCTTCTATGTTTAATTATGTACCTACTGAGATCTTTTTATCCATCGCTTAATCGATCAAAAAGTAGTTATTTTGTCAGGAGTCGGGAGTGCCTACAATGCAGAAACTAAAATGCAAAAAATAACTATTATTAGTCATACCTACGTACTTATAAGTTAGGTACCCACTCACTGATAATGACCAAAACATATACTGCACCTTTTTGTTATTATTAATCGAAATTCGTGTTTGAGAAGGTAAGTCAAACTCCATAATTTTTTTGTTTGCAACAGGTTTTACAACTATTGAGATTCAGTTTTTGTTGTTAGTGGTTTAAAGGGTTTATTAGCATATTCCGAAACCCAAATCACCTCAAAAATTAACGAAATTAAATATAAACAGCTTTTTTTCTTAATTTTGTATTTAAAAATAAATAACTCATTACATTTACATAGTACACAAAATGCTTCGAACATCACAAAAACAATAACTTTAAATACGATATTTTCCAAAGCAAACGATGATTATTTAATGGTATCAAGTCACACATCTCTTGGCAAAGCCCAGGCAGGCACGGGAGCAACAGTCATTGTGGTAAATACACTGCAAAAGAAAAAAAAATAATCTTGAGCAAAGGGGTAAAAGAAGGTTAACAACATTTACCTTATTCCTTTTTTGAACATACTGCTGTGGTCGGAGAGGGTTACCTAGTTAGGGTTAGTTTCAAAACTGTTTTTTCAATTTTAGTAGAAGAGGTGTCTTTATTTAGGTGACACAATCGTTAATCGTCTTAATACTCACAGGCTCTCCCAGTTCAGCGCATTTCTTCAGTTCAGGCAATGAATTAGTTTGGACAAGTGGTGGAACTACAGCAGTAGCGCCCAATTTCTCATCAACTACTTCAATATCATTTGGTTTATTGCTGTTAATTACAGTAGCAGTAATTACTTGCGCAAATACTATTAAAAGTACAACAGTGGAAAGGCGACACATTGTGGATAAGAGAAGGTTCTATACTACCGACAGTTTCGTGGGTGAAGTTAATATAGTTTCTGATGAAGCCACATTAACGGCACCCGCATTGACCAGCGATAACAAACGAGAAAATATCACCTACAGGACGTTCTTTTATTTATTTTCCATTGAACCTGTTTCCCACCTATACTAGAGAGTCATTCAATATATTTTATTGGCAAATCGATAGATTAGAGAGAGAGAGAGAGGAAAAAAGTAAAACGAAACACATTAAACAAAACCGATTTTTATTTAAGAAATAGTATTTTTAAGTAACATTCCTGCATAAAAACCATTTATTTTAATCACAAAAACTTAACTAAGTACTGATTGGTTTACATGTATCGTATCTTCGGTTACGTTACAAAAGAAGTTCTCACAGCAATCGACATCCAAAGTACACTGAAAGAAGAGAAAGATATCAGTTATATAAAACAGTGTCGTCATTATCTGTTGAACTGAACTCGGCTCAGTCAGTTCACTTCCAAGTACATATAGATGACCGATTTTCGGATAATACACAAATGCATTTCAAGGTATTTATCCGAAAAGGCAGATAAAGACTCAATATTTAATTCACTTTTACTTATTGAATAGCTGGACAAATATAAACATTTTTAACAAGTTTAAACATCACTAAGGGCCTGTAACGTTCGGTGGTTTCTTAACGTATTATTAAACTCATTATATAAATTATTATAATTGTATATTCAACTTTAAAAGTTCTGTAATACTCACATCGTCTTCGTTCGTTCCACACGCATTATCATCGTCGACAACATCTGCTGTAGCCCGCAATATCGATTGATTAAATAGGATAAATACAAACATAACTATGAAAATTCAACGCATTTTTGAAAAGTGATTGGTTTTCAAAATAAAATGGTGGTGGACAATTGTTGTTGAAGAAATAAAATAACTGATTGGATGTTGTCATAACAACTCTTTTATATAGGAAGTGGCATTAGCACCACCTATTACATACTACTTAATATTATAATTATTATACCTCTAGGTACATTCATTCAATTATATTCAATAATTTAATTTTACATTCATGTCGCGGAGAACCTAACGGGTAACCGGGGCTCCGGTTTGACGTGCAGGAGAAGGAACGGGGTGGTTTTTAGTCAGTCTGTCACTAAGGCGGGGGAAATCATTCGATGATTTTCCCCCCTTAAAAAAAATATACATTCATAATGTATAGAATTTATATAATAATAAATAATACGTTAATACAGGTGTAATTAACGTGGAATAGAATACTATTGTATATTTCATAATATTATTCCATGATATATGATTTCGGTGCACGATGCTCAGTGACGCAGATTGAGGGGATGGGTCGAAGTGAGTGTTCCAATGCAGGCTAACCGGTCTGACTTGCGCTGGTGTGGCGCAATCTCCAATCTCAACGCAGTCCAGCACCATCTTGAGACTGAGAACCCTATACTCCTGTTTCTTTCGGAGACCCAGATCAGATGTCCGTCCGACATATCGTATTTAGACTACCCGAGATACTCCCTGGAGCACAAATTCGTTCCGCGCGCTGGCGTCTCCGAAATCTTGAAGACCCCAATTTCTCTATTGTCTGGATACTGGTAGACATAGGCCTGGAAAAGATTCTTTATGCCTGTGTCTACCAGTCGCACAGCGGAGACTTGGAGACGACCAGGTTGGTACAACATCTTAGTGAGGCTGCGGATGCGGCTCAGCTTCGGTACCCTTCTGCCCAACAGGTGATTTTGGGTGACTTCAATGCTGTGTCATCACCAGGAGTGGCTTTTTCCAGATCAGTCCGACCTTTATCCGATCATCCTGGGAGAGAACTGCGAAAGCTTGCGTTGACGCTTAACCTTACCCAGCTGGTCCAGGAAGCCACAAGGGCGCCCGATGTGGATACGCATACAGGCAACTGCCTTGACCTTCTGCTGGCAACTAATCCAGACCCCTACTCGGTATCAGTCTCATCACCTTTAGGTAGTTCTGATCGCTGTCTGGTGAAACCTGTGTCTACACACTCCCCACATGATTCTAGCCCTGGGGAACCACGACGGATGTGGCGATACAAGTCGGCAGATTGGGATGGAATGCGATCCATGGCGGCCCGTTTGCTTCTCTTCCGATGATCCGTCAGCTTGTGCGTATGCTGTAACGGGGGTGATGCATCAGGGCATGGAATATTAAATTCCGTTCTCGGACGCGACATCCTTCGGTAGCTTTCGCCCATGGTTTGATGCCAACTGCAGACACGCGGAGGCACTAAAGCATGCTGCATATATGGCATGGGCGGAAGCTAGGTCCCATAAGGCAGGTGCTATGACATCTTCGCATCACTATTACCGCGGAACGTTCCCAGAAGACTGGCAGTATTACCACGTTGAATGGCGACGGGCGATATCTTTAAAGACAGAGTGTGCACTGGGACCCCATGGCCCAAGTGCTTCGACCCCAAACAGCTCATAACACTCACACACTCATAACCCAGTAGATTTGAATATTGAGCCGTTAAGGACCTCTGCCGCAGAAGCTAGCTACACCCTTGAAATTAACATTATTATGAATATGTATGTAGTTGTGTCCAAGGAAGAAATAATAAAATTAATAAATAAAACAACCTGTACCTGCTCACAAAACATACAGTCATATAACCTCATCAATATAATTATATTTTCCACTAATCTGTTATACAGAACACTGACATTGGAAACGATTACCTACTTATATATTCTAAATACCTGTGTTAATGTTAAAAAACAAATAGTTGACAAACTGACCCACATTGCGTGGAAAAATAATCGCCTCACCTAATAGCGCACAGCGTGAATCATTCGTTTGACATACAACTTAGAACTTAGGCTGTCTTCAGACCTGCATTACAACATAATCTTTTTCAAGGGAGTGCCAGACTCTAACGGGCTAAAAACCACCCCGTTCCTACTCCTGCTAGGTTATTCTGTAACTTTCAATTCGAGAGATCGAAGTGAACTCGATCGCGATGCACCATGTCATTAGTTGTGATTGTGAGAATAATCTTGACCGAAAGTTCTTCCGAAAGTTTGAATTGACATCAAAGTCAAAATCATTTATTTCAATTAGATCAGGAAGGCGCTTTTGAAAGTTAAACAAAAAGTTGAAATATTAAAAAAAAATGTCAGTCTGTCGGTCAGTCCCCTAGTGAGGCTATTTGGTCGTTCTAAAGTGTACCTAGCTTCCTATGGAGAAGAACGAGCAAGAAACTCCTCAGGTTTCTCTTTTCAAATCTTTCCCTCTCTTTCAATCAATGAGATTCACAATAGGTCCAATACAATATTCTTGGTTACATTGTTACGTAGGTAAGAACAATGTAAAACCAATAGTCAATCAAGTAGAAAGAAAAGAAAATGACCCTTGAGGGCAACAAATTAATACAGTCTGGAGCTGACCAGTAACTCCAAGCTCACACAAATGCATTCTACTTCCTACAGAATAGCAAAGCTGCTCTTCGAGCCGGATCCCCGGTGACCCGTAATGTTCTCCGCGGCTCCACGTCGCGCGTAAGCCCTGCTGGGCCCCATCTGTGGTGGTCTGAACTCTGAAGTTTGATGACGCTTTGAGGTGCACGCGGAACGCCACACGCCGCACGCTCGGGTCTGGTTCCACCTAGCTGATCGGAGGTACCCTTGCTCGCCGTCTGCAGCCCCTACATAACCTGCAGTCGATATATTCGGTCGTCATCCGTATGTCGCAGCCAAATTAATGAACTGTTAATTTTGCGATTTGAACGACTGGCTAATGCCTAGCTGTTTGATCGAATGGCTGAACTCGGTAGGTACTCATTTGGCCTGGCTCATACGTTGATACCCGGTGCCAGAGCCCGGTTATGGAACAGAGTTGTTGCTATAATAGTAGTTTGGTTTAGGTTAGTAGACCCGAAAGGACAACGGGATGCGAAGGTCTTTTAGAATAAGAGTCTGGCACGGCACCGCACACCCATCGTCCCTACGACCGAGAACGAAGAAAGTTCATGACGATATTTATCGAGTTAATATAACTTATTTATATTTTTTTATCACTTGTACGCGGTTGTCATGACTAAAAGATTATCAACTACATACAATCATCTGCAGTCGTTGGTCGCTCACAACAAGCGCCTTACTTTTAATAGGTTACAATAGGTTCAATAAGTTAAGTGCGCTAAATGTGTTCATAGACACCTATAATGGTAATGAAGAAGTCTTTTTAAATTGCAAATTGCTATGAGTGTGATGGCAGCCTTAGACTTCAGTGCGATAACACCATCAACTACTTTGTTGCTATCGTATTTACAGTAATTCTAATTTATCGTATGCTCAGTTAGGCAATCGATATAAGTAGGTAAGTACTATGCAATATTTTTTATTTATCATAATAAATTGAGACATAACCAACATTGAATATAGCCTAGAGGTACTAGAAAATATGTCATAATTATGGCAAAAGTACCTAAGTGATGGCATGATCGCGACCTCGCATATGTCACATTGCCATACCTACCTACCTAGATGTAGGTACAGACTTACACTTTTAAAAAATGTAATTGTTAAACTAAACGATAAAAATACAACTATTAATAAATAATGAAATATTTTAGTATCGTTACATTATGGTTACTAAACTAGCTTCTGCTAGCGCTATCGTTGCGTTCCCGAAGGTAAAAAGCCTACCTATACGTGTAAATCCAGACCATAACCTACCTCTGTTCCAGATTTCATACCCTCAATCTGCAGGTAGCTCAACATTCGACAAACTTATATTTGTGGTTGGTACAGTAACTGTGTCTAGAAGCCTATGTCTGATCGAGATGCACAAATAAGTTTGTTTTTCGTAAATATACTTTTTCGGGATAAAAAGTACTCTGTGTTGTGCGCAGGATATTAACACCTTGTTCGCCATGGGGGACAACGTATGGGCCACGCTAGCGGAGGATTTACCTTCAAGTTTCAACAGTTTTCTGTTGGCAGTCAAAGCCTTAAAGTATAATCATACCAAATTTCATCGTAATCGGACCGGTAGTTTTTGCGTGATGCGTGAACGTATAGACAGACAGAGAGACAAACACAAACGTTTTAATAATATGTATTTCTGTGGTTGAACCGTATGTATTGGATATGGTAATTACTTAAAAATAACATTAATATAAATAGAGGAGAAAAATATTATTTTTACTCTGTTTTTATAGTTTCCACGGAAAAACATCATAATTATGCTCATGAGGACAGCTTGCTGACTGCGGGCAGCTGAACATCGCCGGAAACGTCAGGAAGACCACTGGACGAAGTCTTAACCCGTCGTGTGCCGTAACGTAGATCTACGCGAGACACAATGCATTTTCTAGTGTGGTGTATATACCGGCAGTCAAGAGGTTAATGGGCATTACAAAAAACAGATCTGCTACCTTTATAACCAAATATTAGAGGTACATAGAACATATTAAGTAGGTACTTACATTCTTTGAATTCATACTGTGAACAAACAAACTAACGGTAAAAGTCGAAAGTTACAGTCCAAACTGTATTTACCTGAGATTTCGTAAATCGTAAAATGGACCTGTTTTTGGTCATTTCGGACCTCACTTAACATCGTATGTACTCAAAATTATGCCTTTACAATATCTGGAAGACCGATGCAGCAATGTTATAATAATATAGTATAACCAGTTTTGATACAGGTACCAGGATTTTAAAGAATCCAAAATAAATAAATTCAATAATACTTGACGGCACTGTTAACCGATGAGTAATCAATCTCATTAAGCCAACATACAGTTTAGTAATGATATTCTGTTAAAAATCATCATTACATTTGTCCGTCATAAAACGTCCATTCTGAACATAAGCTTCCCTCAATGAAATAGGCTAATAGAAATAGGCTTCCTCAGCTGGTTGCAATATTGGAATAGACCTGCGTCTAGCGATTCCCAAACTCCCTTTTGAGCATTATCTAGTCACCTTTCTACATTGCGGGTGGACATCATGTTCCAATAAACACAATAATCAAGTAAATATTTTATCGCTAACGATATGGACCATGAAGCGTAAATCGAAGTCTGCAAATGGCATACACTCATCAAATTGATAAACGGGCCATATGGAAATTGTTTCACCATTTTATTTTACTGAGATAGTGTGACGTCACAGTTGTGAATATCTATGTGTGTGTCTCTATGTGTTTTTATATAATAGTTTATAAGTATTTACCTACTTTAATGACTCCTATAACCTAACGCCGTGGAAAGCTACAAGGCTTAGAGCATTTGCTAATTTATATATACCAGGCGCATTTGCATTTTAAAAAGGGAACCACCTGGCATGCACTAAAAAGGAAGAATAGTGACACATAACATCACGCCTTTTTTCCCTGAAGGGGTAGGCAGAGGTGCACATTACGGCACTTAATGCCTGTACTTACAATGTAACACCTACTTTTCACTATTTATGTTGCCATATACCGGCCACAATTCCTACAAGAATAATGTTACAAAGAAAATAGGGTTTAATAACATTTATTTGTGCTCACTAAAAATAACAACATAAGAAATAACTAAGTATACCTCTTAGGTATATTTAATTTAATTTGGCATCTTTTGGCGAATCTGTGGCATGTCGAGTTTTCACAGCAATCACTGTCTGAACTGCACTGTAAAACAAATAACAAAAATTATTAAGAATAATATTTACAAACAGTATACTCTTGGAACCAACGATCCTAGAATTATGAATGGACAATAAACTAAAATAATCACTAAAGCTCTTAACTAAGGTATTCAGGCCAGGTAGGCAGGTAGTACCTATGAAAAATGTCCACCTAAATTCCAAAGACATAATTTATTACTTATACATACTGGTAAAAACACATAATAAACTTACAATGTCAATTGGTATGGTGCATAAACATACCAAATACCCAACCAATTGTTAAACTGAGTAGTGGTATATAAGTACACAGACGACGCAAATGAAAGAAAAATCAAATTAAATTAAGTAAATTCTCCAAATTAGGTGCCTACTAAGAATTTTGCCAAATATGTATCATCTACACAGATGGGCTATACTTATTAGAAACTAGCTTTACTGGATTAATCTAAAGCTTTGTTGACTACGAATGTTTGTTTATTTATGACATGAAATCGAGTAGAATCGATACTTACAGTAGTACCATGGGTCCCGCAAGAAAGCCCGGCAGATCCATATTGAGGTTCAGGCATTGCCTGGGAGGTCTCAATCAAGTACTGAGTGAAGACAAGGAACAAAATAATGGCACAGGCACGACGCATTTTGATCAATATCAAATAAACACTGAAGGAAATATTTACTCGCGTCTTAATATTATCCCCAATGCAATCACACTGCTACTTAAATAATAGACATGTTTGTAGGTCTGTTATATTATGGTCAAGCGATAAACCGGTTTTCCTGTTTTGACTCTGACCTGACTGCCAACTCGGTTTCTATCTACACTAATTTCATAGAGACAAAAGATTCGAGTTTTTGTCTGTTTCATTGTAATTATTATACCTACGCTCCAAATAAAAAACTTTCTTTGAAACATCAGGCTTTACCACATTAACGTTTAACAAGTTACATAGAAGCATTTTTTTATAAATGTTTACTCAGATATATTGAACAATAACATTGAACATTGTTCCATAATCAGCTTAACTCGTCGAGTACCGGTTTTGTAGACACAATTATAGAACAATAGGTTGCGGTCACCGGTGACCGCTTGGTGTTTGACAGTTTAATGGACTCATTAAATTAAATAATCGTAATCTCAATCTTGTAGGATCGGTAATATGGTTCATTTTTAAACGGTTTTATTTAGTTTGCCTCGTTTGTATAGGTCATATTTACGCCCTTTCTGGAGACACATCGATCTGATATTTGATACAGACCTTTAACCTGTCGTGCGTCTAAACGTGGATCCACGCGAGACAATGTATTTTCTATTATCTTATATCGGTGCATTCAAGCGGATAATCTTGATGACTGTACACATTGTAACTTAAAACATTTATTGTGTTTTACTTGTTTCATTCACGGGATTCACGGGACAAAGTCGCGCGTAAATCACTACTTAGTTTTTCAAACCAATAAGATAACACAGGTCAATTTCTAGAATTGATGTCTGAACATGGCACGCACAAATAAATGACGCATGTGGGTATTAATATGTTTATTCAAACAGATCCAAGAATTTCATATCTCGTTTGTACAAGTGTTCGAAAATTATTAGCTCGTACCTTTTGAGACATATTTTTTTGTAAACAAGTTGTAAGTAAAGTTTCCTTGGTTTATTTGCCAAGACGGTTACTGTTCGATCTCATTGTCCTATACTTGACTGCAATATATACTGTAGGTATAAATTTCTGTACATTGACTTTAGGGCTCCGATCTGGACATAATTAAGGACCTCTTAATAGTTTCGGATTCATCTTATCTTATATCTCATCTTATATCTTATACTCTTATACTATTATATAAAGCGGAAGAGTTTGTTTTTTTTTGTTTAAACGCGCTAATATCCGTAACTACAAGTCTGATTTGAATAATTCTTTTTGTGTTGGATAGCGCATTTATCGAGGATGGCTATAGGCTAGTACACCGTGAACACTTGTACAAAATGTTAATATTTACACAAATTGAATAGGTAAGTATAACAAAGAACGTTTAACAATCAAGTTACTAATGGAGTATGCTTAAGACATTATTTGTTGAATCTAAAAATCAAATGGTAGTCTAAAGGGGGCCTTTGTGGTTCTCAGTGGTTGCTTCTGTATTTGAGGCGCCCTAGTACCCGTGTTGCCCAAAAGACCGAGGCCACCTAAGGGCCCATTGTTCTGTCCACCCAATTGCTGCGGTATTTTCAAGTCGATGGGCAACTGCGACAGGTTTAACAAGTCCCCAAGTAAATTCTTACAGAGAGCCCCTGTTAGTCGGTCTGCCATATTACCCCATAAACCGATTTGGCAGAATCTGGAAAAAATCAAGAGAATTAAACATAAAACGTCCACAGTACCATGTAATTTGATATAATAATGACAAATATAAGAACTAAACACACCTGAAATCTTTATCAATTGTCAAAGATTCGCCAATTTTCAAAAATTGGTCTTTACTTCTAGGTAATAAGTTAGCAGCAAAACCGAACAGGGTGTTGTTATTGGCATCAGTTTTATCAGATCCGTGAGCGAATTTGGCGATAAGTCCCACGAAGTTATCACGCACTCTAGCATCGGTGCTGGATACTTCATCTCCCATAGACTTGCCGTCAGGACCCAAAGGCTCGAATATGTAAGCTAGTTCATCACCATGAGATGGACCTTGCGCTTTTTTCGGCTTAACCATTTCACTGTCATCTTTCTCTGTAATGTGTTTTTTTATTTTAACTTTTAAAATAATGAACAATTTGTTTTGTAGAAGATATTATTATGTGTGTATTGTAGATATTATATTTACCTGCAAGAGCCACTCCAGGCAAGAAATGCCATCCTTTCGAGAGGTTCCCAACATGTTCGAAGCTATAGAGGAAGGCATGACCCCCTGAGCTCCACTTCTGAACACTTTGGTAAGCGGGGAAGTTAAACAGCGCGTCACCTGGGAATCAAATCATTTTGTTGAATGGTTGAGATGTCCTAGTTCTGCCAGTATCAGTAGGTATTGATATTTATGGGACCTGAGGATCATTGTAGGAGGCGTTAATTGCCCATGGATGGACAGAGATAAAACATATGAAATTAGTATTCCTAGAAGCCAGATTATAAAAAAAATCTCAAAGCAAGTAACATCTGTTCTGTATATTATGTAAAGTAGTTAATTTTCTGAAAAATGTAGTTAAATAACCAGAACAAAGGTTATCCAAAGTTTTGAACTCAATTACCCCTGCGATTCGATAAAATATAAGTAAATAATAATTTCTGTGTAATAACTTGATTGGAATGTTTACATTACATTCTACAAACTCATAGTGTAGGTATGTAATATTATTTACAATTTAACATTAGTACCACAAATAATTAAAAACAAATCTCTAAGCAAAGGAAGGTGTGTTTAAATGTCTGCCATATTGAAAATGGACGATTGTTTATGATAAATTATCGAAATTCCTAATTTTTCCAACACTCCATCATCTCTGTAGAAGTTTATAGTTTGCTTTTCGAAATAGCACTTTATATTTAAAGCGTATTCAAGTAATGCAAGTATTCATTATCCATCAATTTGTCCACAATATTTCTGCTATGTAGGCAATAATAATAATAATACTTTTTCACAACTTAAAATTTACAAGCACAACATCGATTGTGCTAGAAATGGGGCTGGACTCTGGACAAAAAAGACTACCTGCGAGCTGCGTGTAACAAAAAATTAAAAGGCAGACCCCTTATGTAGAGAACGCAGCTTGTGGCCTTGAGCCCTTTGTATTTTTTAGGGTTGGGGTTGGGGCCTATAGATGTGGGGAACAATGGACACGTTTTGAAAAAATACCACACAGTTTGAGTACCTATAAGTATTTAATACACTAATCCTGAATGTTAATTTTTATTTTCTACCTACTGCGTTATTTTACAGATAGTTTACTTTAGTGAAACGACGTCTAGCAAACCTCTCTTTTATTTTTTTAGGGAAAAAATCATCCAATGTCTTCTCCCGCCCAGGTGAGGCGAGAGGTAGTGTCAAACTCTTACTGACTAAAAACTACCTTGTTCCTACACTTGCACTTCGGGCCGGAGCCCCGGTAACCCGTACCGGGCATCAGCCCTATTGGGCCCCACCCGTGGCGGTCTGATGGCTGTAGCAAACCTATCTTCACTTCAACTTTTGGTGAATCGTGTAGCATGGACATCATAACCATTTGACTTTTTCCTCACTAAGTTAGAAAGTCTGAGTATTTAGTCATAATGAGTATCTAAGGCATCAACAATAATCCGAAACTTTGTGATATAAAGATTCGAAAAATTCATTAATACTATACCCGAAACGGAAACCAACCCCGCTTACCCGAACCGGGCGTAGCCCCTTGAACAACGTGCGTAAAGTATGCGTATAATAACTATTTTTATCATTTTCAATAACTTGTTTTGAACCTCGCACAATATGTTTATTATAATGATTTTGTTACCTGTGGCTTCAGCAACTTCAGAGAGTCTATCAACGATACTGGTAGCCTGTTTGAGCAACCCCTCGTAGTAGTCAGTTACAGGCAACACGGTTTGCACGTTGGAAGCCAGAGGAATCAGACCCTCTACACCATGAACCACGTTTTGCAGACCACCGATCAAGTCCTTCTTCAAAAAGTCTTTCACAGTTTCAAGTTGGTTCGTTAAGAACTTATTGAATTTTCCTAGAAGGATACAAAAATATCAAATCAATTTACACCATAAAAGTTACATTCACATAGTATAATTGTAAAATATCGCTGTAAATTGATGAGTATGTGCCATTACCTTGAACATCTAATTCAAATTTCAACCATACTATTTTAGTGAAGTAACGTCTAGATTTGTTATCCTACAAACAATACTCACCAAATACAGCTCTTGAGGTCTCTGCTGAAGTAACGCCAGTGAGCAGTGGGACACGCTTCTGTTTCTTGTTGAGAGCCTCAGCTGGAGACTCGGCTACTATTGGTGGAAGACCTCGGAGGTCATCCGCACCTTCCACTCTGGCACCAGCACCTGCTCATCAATGTCACTCTTGTATTTTTGCAAAAAATGTCTTGCTGTTACTACCTATAGGTATTTGTTTTAACAAATTACCTGAACGTCCAGAGATCTCTTCCAAAAATCGTTGAGTATCCACCATATCCATATTTATATCCTCGTCGGCCTGTAACAGTCATACAAATGTTAACTATTATCTACAAATTTAACATTTAGTTACATAATTTATATTATGCATATGGCATTAAGTTCGCCTTATGTGCCATTATCAAATTGTGTACATTAAAGACTAAATAAATAAATTGGGTTTATCAACCTCAATGTGTACAAGTTACCTGCACAAGTTTCTCAACGGGTAGCTGCCTCAAACATATGAGTAGACTTTCAGCTGGTTTCTTTGGGCACCCTGTGCGTTCAGCTACAGCTTCAGCGTGTTTGGCCGGATCGGGTCTCACCGTGCCTGGAGACAACGGGGCTCCAGACAAGGCAGCCACACCTGTAGCACTGCGACCTTCAGGCGACATTGCCATGAGAGAAGCCGCACTACCACCAGAACCTTGGCCCATAACAACCACTCGTTTTGGATCGCCACCGAAGAATTGAATGTAATCTTGGATCTGAAATAACAATAGGAACAGGATATTTAAGAACTGAAAATAAACGTGTCGTGTTTGAAATATTTTAAGTAAGTACACTAATTTTACTCTTACCCAGACCATGGCAGTGTGCAGGTCAAAAAGCCCAAGATTTCCTCCAGCATCCCTCTGTCCCGTGCTCAGATATCCTAATGATCCCAGTCGATATTGAGCTGTCACTAATATCGTGTCCTTCTGGGCTAGATGTTGACCCTTTAAACAATTTAGATTTTTATTAACAAAGCAGAGTTCATTTTAGTACAGTTAACTTAAAGTAAACGTTGGAAGATTAAGCTTAACAACTTACGCCATACGATGCCGTTGATCCTGTTCTGTAGTTACCACCATGAATGAAGAAGACAACTGGGCTTCCTGCAAATGATTTAAATTTGGACCAATTATTACCAATTATTGGCAAATCGCAAATAAATAGCTAAGAAAATCAGAGGAATGAAAGTTTTTTTATCTTTATTTAATAAGAAGGGTTTTTTTCCTAAGAGGAAAACGTCAGCCCTATTATAGTATACAAAATTCAGTACACACTTGCTAAAATAAAGTAGCTAAACCGTTTATAGGTTTAACTAGCCCATAAGCTTAAACATAAAATAATCTTATATCTTATCATAGACTATTATATAAAGCGGCTATAAAACCATCACGCTACGACTACGATCAATAGGAGCTGAGCAGAGCGTGTGAAACCTCGCGGAAGTAGCTAGTAGGTACTATTATATAAAGCTGAAGAGTTTGTTTGTTTGTTTGAACGCGCTAATCTCCGTAATTACAAGTCTGATTTGAATATTTCTTTTTGTGTTGGATAGCGCATTTATCGAGGATGGCTATAGGCTATAAAACACGCTACGGCCAATAGGAGCTGAGCAGAGCGTGTGAAACCGCGCGGAAGCAGGTAGTTAAATTATAAAATTTTCTAGCCTCAGATGACAATGGTGACGCTAAAACACTGTGATAAAAACCAATATTAAAGCTCTTAAAACTAAAGACCTGATATCTCTGAGACTCAATACGTCGACACCACAGATATAATAAAATCTGTGGTCGACACTCATACAAAATGTGTTCCACGTCCTTCCTCAACAACATCACACACAGCACAGTTTGGTGATTCGACTTTATGCATCATGAATCCGAAATTATTAAGAGGCATGTTAACTTTTATACAATTTCGACCCACCTTCTTCAGTAGCAGGCATTTTGGGAGCATACACGTTCAGACACAAGCAATCTTCATGGCCTATGATCCGATTTCGCTGGTAAGGATCTGGTTGTGGGCATGGATAGCAGTGTCGGTTGGCCATCATCTCTCCAGCGAGGAACCGACGAATGGGCCGCTGGAATCTTTGAGGACCCAATGGTGGTTCCGCATATCTGTATACATATACATCAGTAATACCTATGTTTTAAAATAGAGTTTTCAATCTAGAGAAACCTATTGGTAAGATAGGTACTTGGAACAGATGGGTCAGTAGCTGCCTAAATCAAAGCATACGTGTAGACGCAAACTACTCTCCACAGCGGATTATCTGTTGGCCACAAAAACAGCGGAAACCGCTATCAACATCCGGCGGCGTCAAACTAAATTATAAACGCAAATAGATTTAATATTACTTTTGATTTTATTTAAATTTGTTCCTACAACTATTTTATAAGTTCTGGTTATATAGTTTATATTATAATGAACGTAAAAAATTACTATTATCTAGAAGTTTGTTCAACGTTTGGCCATTAGATTAGAATGATGTTTTTGTTTTCATTCAGATTCAAAACTTCTTGGCATTGGACATGGACATGACAATAATTTAAAAGAAACCTTTGACCCTAGAAAAAAGATTTTGAGTAGGGTTATAGATATAACTATATTCAATCTATTCTGTGAGGTAAATGATAAGAGGTCTCTTGAACATTCTCATTCGTATCTACTCCAAATAATAAAAGTGACTGTTAGTGCAAAGTATAGTTTGTTAAACATGCAATCACACGCATTTCTTTGCTTTACCAAAGAACTTTGAAATTACAAATATTTATGAAAAGCAAATTTTACCTGATGCCATAAAAGCTATAATATCCAAGTTTATCATCTTTAATTCCTTCGATACGTGCGCTGAACCCGTGCCGCTGTGTGAAGACAACCGCAGCGTCAGGTTCGGGAGGTGAGGCTGGGGCGCCTCCGACGACAGCCTGTGCTGGCGCAAACCATAGCGCCGCCAACGCAAGCGCAACACACCACATCCAAAGCCGATACATCACTAAGCCCATGACACTCGCAATCGGAACTAGACATCCCACGACATGTGATAATCGTCATACCGGGTTGCAAAATACCTACCCAACAACCGATGATAATTTTTGTTGAATCCTGTCTGTGATCCTGCTTACCGATAAAAGTTCCCAAAAATAATGACATTATTCCATGTATCTTTTTCCTCATTGTCCAATGATTGCAAAATGTTTGTATCCGCTTTGTCTTTAGTTTTAGAAAGTACGATCCCACCAAAAACATAAATGTAAAAAAGGGGAGCCAAGTTCAGCCCAAATATTATGCTTTGACGTGGGCTACGCCGAAAAAAGAATGAAGATCTAAATGAGTGCCAAGTTCTATGCAAAATTTAAATATGTATCTATAGGAACAAAATAACGTTATGAACGAGAATCAAACTATATTTCTTTGCACTAATGGATACCTACAATTATTGCTGTTATCTAAAAATGTGAGATCTTAAAGTAGGTTAGATTTGACTTGGCTAGTTTTCATCAGTCATTATTTTTATAAAGCTTTTCAATATTTTTATACTGATAAAAACTAGCCAAGACATACCGGCCTCGTAAGCGCGGGCCTGCGGACGGCGAGCATGGGTGGCTCCCCGTCCGACCAGAAACAGACCCGAGCGTACGGCGCGTCGCGTTCCGCGCGCGCCTCAAAGAGCCATCAGACCACCACAGATGGGGCCCAATACGGCCGATGCCAATTCGGAGTCGCGGAGAACCTAACGGGTAACCGGGGCTCCGGCTCGACGTGCAGGAGAAGGAACGGGGTGGTTTTTACTCAGTAAGAGTCTGACACTCCCTCCCGCCTCACCCAGGCGGGAGCAGACATTCGATGAATTTCCCCCCTTAAAAAAAAAAAAATGCTATCAAGGTTCGATATCGACACTATCGCTATTAGAACAATTGTAATAGGTAATAAACAAAACACATCCATAAATAGATATATCTTTAAATGATTAAAAAGAATAAACAAATTAAACCATAACCAAACAAAAAAAATGCTCTTGGAGCATTACATTACGTAACAATCATATTTATTTTTATTCTTTATTTGATAAGACTGCCTCGTTGGCCGAGTGGTCGCGATTGCGACTACCTGTCTCGGGTTCGATTCCCGGGTCGGGCAAAGTATTACTGGGTTTTTAAAAAATTCTCAGTAGTAGCACGGAGTCTGGAAATGTGCCCGGTATACGGCAATAGGCTCACCCCCTATTACATGGGACCTCTGCCTACCCCTTCGGGGATAAAAGGCGTGATGTTATGTTATGTTATGTTATTTGATAAGAAGGGCTTTTTTCCTTAGAGGAAAATGTTAGCCTTATTATAGGATACAAAATTCAATACAAAAAATAAAGCAGCTAAACCGTTTATAGGTTTAACTAGCCCTTAAGCTCAAACACGACTCAGATGACAATGGTGACGCTAAAACACTGATAAAAACCAATACTATAGCTCAGTACCGACATTATAGACACAATTATAGAACAATAGGTTGCGGTCACCGGTGACCGCTTGGTGTTTGACAGTTTAAAACTAAAAACCTGATTCCTCTGAGACTCAATACGTCGACACTCATACAAAATGTGTTGCACGTCCTCTACAACATCACACACAGCACAATTTGGTGATTCGACTTTATGCATCATGAATCCAAAACTATTAAGAGGCATATGTCCAGATCGGAGCCTTAAAGCTGTGACGATTGCTTGTCTACTCATCCCACCTTCACCGAACCAGAGAGCAAGAGGAAGCGTCGGTTGTATTGTTTTATACCAAATGCCTTTAGTAAGTGACCTTTTGTCAAAGTATTCTGACCATACTTTATAGCAACTTTCTCTTATTAAAGGCAGAAGTTCAGTATGCCACGGTGCACAAGTATAAACCTCCCTGTCATATCCCGCTTCATTAGCCAACCGATCAGCTTCCTCATTACCTTTCAATCCAATGTAACAATCATAATGTTAAACACCATTTAGACTAAACATGTATTATAGTACAAGTAAGTAACATTACATAACATGTTACTTACTTGTGACATGTTATGTAATTTAGTTTATTTCAGTTTTGTATATAAAATTAAATCTTCATAAATGCTAGGTACTTATGTATGCAAGACTACTTACTTATGTATTCTTTTAAATCAACGTTATCCTTCTTTAATAACTATTCTCTTATTTTTAGGATATGGCAGGTTTTTTTGTATTTAGGTACGTTTCTTTATATTAGCATTAATTCTTTCAATCCCCAAAATTGAATTTTTTTGTTCTTTTTGCAATTCTTTCATCGATTTATAGATAAGTAGGTATTATTAGTATTGAATTTTTTCCTGTTTAGTAAGTTATTCCAACGATTATGCCAATTTTCAATATTGTTTTGGGTGGTTGGGAATCCCAACTTGGGATCAGCGTTCACACAATCTAATACGGACCGACTTCTTCAGCTGTAAGTAATTTCAATGTTAGACCCGCGATATATTGCGCTGCAGCTACTTGCCTAGTCAATGACAATACAGTACCTATAGGTACAAGCTATGCCTACTACGAACAACTGCTAGGTATTACCTAACTTACATAGGAGTAAGCCTTAAGCTTACCTATCTATACTTAAACAGAAAATTCTAAATCAATTGGGTAGCTGTTGTTTTTGTGAGAAAGTAGGTATCCTATAGTAGGGCTGACATTTTCTCTAAAGCAAAAAGCCCTTATAAAAAGATTAAAAAAAAAAGGATACGTCTTGACATAATCATAGATAAGAAGGATCCTTCTTATATCTATGAGGGCTTTTTTCCTTAGAGAAAATGTCAGCCCTATTATAGGATACAAATACTTACCTTTTACAAAAGGTTTAACTAGCCCTTAAGCTTAAACACAAAATAAATAACTGATACAATTTTCTAACCTCGGATGACAATGGTGACGCTAAAGCATTGTGTTAAAAACCAAGCACTTAAAATTAAATACTTTTTTAAAATGTTTATTTAATAAGAAGGGCTTTTTCCTACTTGATAGAAGAGGGATTTTTTCGTAGGTACCTTTTGCAGCATAATATCCTAGGCACCTAAAAATTTAAAAGATCATTATTTTGATTCGGTTCAGTACTTTTCATAACAGAGACCACTCTGTACAACAATACCTACCAATTGTGTGTGAATAGTGTGAAAAATGATAGATCTAGGATATTGTTATTGTTTGTCATTGTTTGACCGACCAACCAACCAATCGATGCGCATCCATGGACGTCTGAGAAACAGTGATGTCCACTCGAAAAATATCGATATCTGAATATAAAATGGAGATTTTTTTATTTCATAAATAAAGGGCTTTTACATACTGCCAATAAAAATATTTTGATGTGTAACACATATATTCTACACGCTGTATGTCAATCTTCGCTTTTTCTTGTTAACACAGTGGCTACGAGACCGGTAGTCCCGGACTCAAGTAAAAACTGTTTATATATTTTTCTGATTAAAATTACTACTCGCCATATTATTAGAGTCTTTAGTTGTCTATGGTCATTTGTTAATATCATTTGTGGAGTTGAACAAATGTGGATAGTTTAGTTAAGACTTAAGGGAGTTATTAAAAAAATATATGATTACCACTTATATGCATAGAAATATTTAGGAAAGTAAATCAGCTAGGTATCTATTAGCCGATATCGATATTATCGACTTTGTAAATCAGGAATACGTACGGCTCTAAACTATGCTCGATTCGTGCATTTTATTAGGGACCGTACACAACCACACATCCACAATGTTACCAGCATCTAAAAGATATTTCTATTTATATAATTATTTATGTTGTTATATTAATAATAACTACATAGATTTAAAAAATATAAGTATTTGTTATTACCAAAAGTTATTTACGTTTATTATGGATAGTTTTGTGGAAATGTATTAGACTGTAAGTTTAATTAATGTTCTATGTGCTTATGTTTTTTTGTTTTTCTTTGTCTAAATTCTTTTACGGTTATTATGGGATTATATGAAATAGATTTTGATGAAGGTTATAGTAGTTTTTAAGTTTAGTTATAATGTGTAACTGCATTTATTGTATTAGGTGTGCCTGTGATGATAAATGTAATGTTTAAATATAAATAAATAAATAAAATAAACTAGAGGCATTAGGCAACAGCGAAAATAAATGTAATGCTTAACGTTTCATGTCTTCTAATTGAATACCTAGGCAATATTTTGTTGCCAATAACAATGTTCTTATGAAGAGCAGACGCAAGATTTTTCTCTGAAATACTTTGAATTGTCAGATTAGGGCAAACGTAAGCATTGTAAAACGCGAATGTTGCCATGATACCCGTGAATTAAAGAAAAATAAACTGAAAAATATATAACAAACAATTCCAAATATTAATTTACGAAAATAAATAGCAAAAAATGTGTGGGAGAGCCATGCTTCGGCGCGAATGGGCCGGCTTGACCGGAGTGATACCACGGCCCCACAGAAAACCGACGTGAAGCAACGCTTGCGTTGTGTTTCGTCGTGTAACTGAGGTTACCGGAGGCCCAATTACCCTCCCCTTCCCCAATCTCCCCAATCCCCGAATCCCCAACGATCCTCAAACTCCTAATGGTTTTCCAGGTGGCCATAGGCGACACCGATTGCTTACCAACAGATGATCCGTCTGCTCGTTTACTGGCTTTTGCCATAAAAAAGTCCGCTATCTCACTATCTTAAAAATTAAGTACCTCATGATAATAATAATAATTTTACTGCTTATTTAACTATTATTTAGTTACTAATAGGATACTTTAACTAAATAAAATCAATATTATTTGATATTTGCAAATGGTCAAAATTGATGGGTTTCCATGAATTTTGTACCTACGAAGGTTACTTAACTACGTAATTTTGTGTTGTGCCATGTTATTATTAATTCTTACAAGTTTTTTGTTTAATTTACTTATTTTTTTTAGGTTTTAAATATGTAGTTCCGTTTTTAGTATTGCTATTCGGTGACTCCTTTAATGTTGCGGGCGACTATATGATATGGGCGGCGCTGATCGCTTTCGCTTCCCATCAGGTGATCCCTCTGCTTGCTTCCCTCTATTCCATAAAAAACATAAATTGTATCATTTAATTACCTATTTTGTGTTTAAGCTTAAGGGCTAGTTAATTTAACCTATAAACCGTTTAGCTGCTTTATATTTTGTACTGAATTTTGTATACTATAATATTAATATGCCTGACATTTTCCTATGGAAAAAAGCCCTTCTTATTAAGTAAAGTTCAAAAAGAAGCCCTTATTAAATAAAGATAAAAAAAATCTTTATTTTAATTATGAAGGATTTTATTACAAATAACAAAAAATATCAAGAGAGAATATTAAAAAAAGAACAGAAAAGTATTACCTATTTAATTATATTGATTTTAAAGGACCTTATCCATCTAACGAAATATTTTCTATATATATTACATTGCACGAAATCGCCCACGGTTGTCGTTCTGGTAACCCTAAATTGAAGTCCAAGCCATAATAAACCATAACGCGACGTGATAAAGTCCATATTCATTACTTGAATCAATTTAGGAGATAACAATATGTCTATCTCTTTCTATACAGCGGGGAGACGACTGAACTATAACTAAGAACTGATTTTAATTCCGGATTAAAATCATTTACATGGACAATTTTTCAGCATTAGGAAAAGGTATGCTAACAATTCTAAACTTTCTTTCTTTTTTATAGTGTATCTCAATACTCGCGTGTTGCATGAATATGATTGTGTTATTAATAAAAAAAATTGTAAACATTTCTATATTGGCAAATAAATGAGTTTACATTATTAAAGCATAATTATCCGATATGATAAAAATATGACGTCCCAATATGGCTGAGTAAGGTAATATGAATTTTGATAGACTTAAATATATTTATTTAGGTACCTACTAGCTTAAGTAGATATGTTAACTATTTATCTATCCTAGTAAATAAACGGTTTTTAAAAATTGTATTGATTTAAACTGTCAAACACCAAGCGGTCACCGGTGACCGCAACCTATTGTTCTATAATTGTGTCTACAAAACCGGTACTCGACGAGTTAAGTACCTACCTAAGTAAATTAGTGAAATTATTTTTACAACAAAGTATAGCCTATATTACCCTTCAGTTTTTTTTAATCTTTATTTAATTACAAGATTTTTTCTTAAAAGAAAACGTCACCCCGATTATTGAGTACAAAAATAACCAAAAAGACCATATTACTTAGACTTACATTTAAGGTAACCCTTCAGTTACAAAGACTGATTTGAAACTGTTGTATCAACCGATAAAAACGTTTAAAACGTTTATTAGTATAAAAAGGCATATAAAAGAGGTAATATTTTTTACTGTTGTTTATTATTTTGTCTCCGTATCGCTATAACGGAGCAAAGGGTTTAAACATAATACACAGTTTTAGCACAGTCGGTTAAAGCACATTTTGTACTCTTTGGCTACTACACCACAAATTCTTCTTATGTTCCGTTATAAGGGCCGGGACCAAAACTACATTGAATTTTGCAATAGTTTTCAAAGTAACATGTGTGCAAATTTAAACACGATGAATATTGATAACAAAAAATGATACAAAGGTTATTTTTTCATAGTAATTTCCCAAATATAGTGATTGTGCAAACATTCGTGCAAACGGGACGTCAGTGACGACACAGCATACGTCGCGTTTGCGTCATCATATCGTGAACAGCGCTCAAACGGGGAGGACGTGGGATGATTGAGTGTGGAGAGCATCATTAGAAACATTTTTTTTATTTTTTTTCAAATGTTTCTAATATCGGAATTATAAAGTACAAAGTTTAGGATAGGTAAATATGTATTTGTGATTTTTTGTGTGCATTTCTGAGTGAAATTTTCTTCGTCGTTACTAATGTGCCTTTGTCTTCCCCAGGTTCCACTCGGAATCGCCGCCATCATGGCGTCGGACGAACAATTTTCACTATGCTGGAACAATTTCCACGCAAACATGTCAGCAGGCTTTCACGGCCTGCTGTCGCGTGGAGATCTCGTAGATGTTACATTGGCTGCCGAAGGCAGGTTACTGCAGGCACACAAATTAGTTTTATCAGTATGTTCTCCTTATTTCCAAGAGATGTTCAAAATGAACCCAACTCAACATCCCATAGGTAAGGATTTTTCTATTTGTTGGATTGACATGTCGTTTTGAATGTATCGAGTTGTGTACTAATCAATCATTTTCTTTTGTTTCAGTATTTTTAAAAGATGTTAGTCATTCAGCGTTAAGAGACTTATTACAGTTTATGTACCAAGGTGAAGTTAATGTTAAGCAAGAAGAATTAGCCTCTTTTATTAGTACCGCGGAACAGCTTCAGGTTAAAGGTCTGACCGGAAATCAGAATGAAGAAAGTTCCACGCCATCCAAACCAAAGCCGACCTCTAGGCCAGGCCCGAGGTCGTCACAACAAAGGCAATCTGTTATGACTAAGTTAGAGACTGATTTAGATTCTAAGCCCTCCACCACTCCAGTAGCGGTTAAGCGACCAAATAGGCCATCAATAGCATCAAATAATTCGTCATCTTCACAAAGTGGACCTGCGAAACGAAAATGCGTGGACCCATTAGAAGCTGGACCATCAGGATCTGCAAAGGAAGAATTTGTAACGATACCAGATGAAGATGAAAACAACGCTGTGGCACCGAAAATGGAACCTGAATTTGTGAACGAAAGCATGTGGGACGATGACGATGATGGCGCGAATAACGAAGAAACAAATTTCGGCGAAGATGACTCTAATATGGAAATGACTGGTAAATATAATATTTAGTCTCGTTTTCACTTGAAACCCCGTTTTTTGTCATGGTATTTAATAACTGTTTTGTTTGCAGCTTTTGATGGCTCAACGACAGGCGACGGCAATATTACTGGAGGTGGTGAAGGTGGAGCTGTAGGCGATGCACAAGGTAGGTTTGCTACTTCCTTCAATAAAGGCAGTTAGTTCAACGTGGCTTTGAACCAGCTGTCTTCTTCAGACTTATGTGATTAATATTCTATTACAGTTCAAATTCGTCTCAATAATTTATCAATCAGCGGTCACATAAGTCCTTTAGTCGTAGAAATGAAATTTGTAAGTTTAGCTTAAGTAGATTAGAATTAGAATTCATATAGTTAACTTGAGATGTTGCAGGTAAAGTTCAAGGTATTGTAGAGCTTCATATTCAGAAGCTTGAGGTAAACTGGTGGTAAGGTAAAGGTACCGAAGGTAACTATTGGTAAAGTTTCTGTAAAGGTAAACGGGTAATCGGGTAATTGGTAAATTTACACAAGGTAACCGGTTAAAGTAATGGTGGTGAGACTGGGTAAGGTATGACTGTATTAGGGTACTTGTTGCAAAGGTAATTTAAGGTCGGATCAGTAAGTGGACAGGTGTGTAGATGTTCCCAATATCTACACATTTCCCGACGGTACGGTACGGTAGTGTTTGGTAAGTACGAAGTAACAATAGGGTGAATGGGTAGCAGTAAAATGGGGCGAATACGGTTTGAGCGGCGAAAAGGGACTGAAGAGGGTGAATCTATACATGAACCTTTTTTTACATTAGTATTCACCTCCCGATCGCCTACCCCATTTTACGGTGTTTGTAAAATCGCGGTTTTTATTCACTTCATTGTACGGTAGGTAGGTCTGTAATGCACGGTAAAAGAGGTGAATAGAGATTGTAAGGAATGCGAACAGAAGAGTGGCTATGAAAACAATTCCTCAGAATTCACATCTACGCAATGTTTATTCATCCCTATACGTTATGGTAAAATAAAATGAAGTGGATAGGAATCTAGAGGTAAATAGGGACGGAAGACTGGTGAATCGATACTATGAAAAATTTCCCTCGATCTCATCGATTCACCTCTCGATCCCTGCCCACCCCCCACCCCTCCTTTACGTTACCCCCTATGCGCCACCCCTCCTTTACGTTACCCCCTATGCGCCACCCCTCCTTTACGTTACCCCCTATGCACATCCACCGTTCCTATTCCTATGTATTGATGACTAGGGTAGGGTCTGTGCTTATGGTATGCTATGCACAGGTGATATCACAGCGCTATAGTATGCAGCGCAGTGATTACTGGGTAAGTATATACATGTCCGTAAGGATTGAGGAGCCACATCACATTTTTAAAATCTGATCTCGCCATTATTTAGCAGCAGTTTAGCTTATTTTGCAGCACGAATTCTAGATTTAGCAGCAAAATATATCACTAGTTATTTTAATGCAAACATGGCTCCTCAATCTAAACGTTTGAATTGAGGAGCCACCTAGAACTCGTTAAGTAATAGATGAATATTTATGAAAATTTTGTATCATTTAGTAGTAATTTTGCACATTACCATATAAAAATTTGGCTTCTGTAGTGCTATAATTGAAGAAAATACAATACTTTTAATATGGCTCCTCAATCTAAACACAAGAGGTGAATTTCTATTTGGATGTGAGCGATCAATTAATATATTAGCATATTGATAATTTAGCAGGTGTTGTGTTTGTTTTTGCAGTATAGGAATAAAATAGTAAAACAGTATATTTTGTATATAAACGCATTTTCTTTGGCTCCTCAATCCTGACGTTCTAGTTATGTATATTTGACTGTAGCCACCTGAGATCTCAACGGAATCTAAAGCCAGAGAGACTAACATTTAGCAGAAACGTCTGCTAAATATATCTGCACAGTTCAGCAATGTACATATTTTGGATTCTGAGAAAACAATACTTAACTATTTTCTTGTAAATTCAATGTGTAGGGTGACCACATT